ATGGCTCCTGACCAGAGGAACAAGCTGGTGACCCCACTCCATCCTCTAACTCTAAAGACACAACCATTGCGAAGCAGAGACAAGCCATCCCTACTGTGCCCAGGTGGAATTGCTGGCCCACATAAGCCATGAGGGATGATGCAAAATTATTATCTAAGTTACTAAGTTCTGGAATAATTGATTTCACAATAGATACTTAATACATACATCTACATCTGTAGATAGGTGTGTGTTTGTACATACCTGTAATTATACATACCTGCATTTTCTACCTCTGTCAACTGACAACCTAGAAACAGTGACAATCTAGGAGCAGTGGGCATAGCTTGTGCACAGGCCTTGGGTTCTGAATACCATTTTCCACCGAGAAATGTCTGATTCCAAGGCTGAGACAAAGAAGGCACAAGAGGGACCTGGAACATCTTTAAAAAGAAAATAAGAAAAGGCTCAAGGAATAATGACAATAAATCTTAAGGACACGGGAACTTCAGAAAGATCATGGGAAATGGAAATAACAAGTATTTTCTTGCACTTTGGTGCAAGAAATGTTGAAATGCATGTATTTTTTATTTATATGCATTTGCCATTAACTTTTTAAAAAAATATTTATTTATTTGAAAGTCTGAGTTACACAGAGAGAGGAGAGGCAGAGAGAGAGAGAGAGGTCTTCTATCTGCTGGTTCACTCTCCAATTGGCCGCAATGGCCGGAGCCGCACCAATCTGAAGCCAGGAGCCAGGAGCTTCTTCTGGGTCTTCCATGTGGGTACAGGGGCCCAAGGACTTGGGCCATCCTCTACTGCTTTCCCAGGCCATAGCAGAGAGCTGGATAGGAAGTAGAGCAGCCGGGACTAGAACTGGCACCCATATGGGATGCCGGCGCTTCAGGCCGAGGTGTTAACCCGCTGCACCACAGCGCCGGCCCCTGCCATTAACTTGAGTGTACCCTGTATTTGGGACATCGGAGCATCAAAAAGTAATTACTGCCAGCCCCGTCACACATTCACTACGGAAAGACGCTTACTGACTTGGACAGTGTTCATGTTTGCCCCATCTTTGGATGCCGCTCAGGGAGTCCTGCGCTGGCGCCTGTTTTGATCACGGCAGACGAGGGTGTACGGCAGCAGCCTGTGGACTGAGTGTCTGAGGATCTGTGAACATGTGCAGGATGACAGCAGCCCTGGAGAGACACAGTACGGGACCCGCTGGAATCCTAAGTGGAAACGTCAAGGCTGCTTCCACCTCGGGGGCTTCAGTTGTAGATAGCTTTGAAAGACTGAATTGTCTGTCCTCTTCTTGTTGGAAACTCGGTGCTTGTTTTGCTAGCACATGGGCGGCTGCGCATGCCGACGACTGGCCTGTGTGTGGCAGCCGGCTGTGCCGCACAGGTCCGCCCTGAGGAGGCCGTGCTGTCCGCTGGGAGGCTCGGCACACGGCTGTGACCAGCGCTCCTGGGCATCTAGAGGCTACCTACAAGACACGCCTGCAGCCCCGCCGACCTGTTCCCCGACGTGCTATCCTGAGAATGCCTATGATGAAAATGACTTTATACATGGCTGCTTCAAAAATTTTTGGAAAATGCATGTTATGAAAAAAATTACTCATGATTTCAAATTGTTTTGCACTAAAACAAACTTATCATTTAATTCCATTACCCATGAACCTTTTCAAGTACGCTTGTATATTCCTGCATAAAAATACCACTCATTAAATAAGATCAAAATCCATTCATGAAAAAATAAATAATCACAGTAGTAGGTAGGGTCACAATCCACTGAATAAAACAAGACTCTAAGAATTCATTCTGATAGCTTGAATGAATGAACAAATAAATAGAAGGAAAACACTACCTTTCAGTAGAATGCCAACTTTTGTTATTAATTTAGAAAGTAAAAAATACTAACTTTACCCAGCAGAGAAATCTGACACCATCTTAACAAAATGCTAAAAATTAAAATGAACATTACCAGTTAGGGGATAAATGACAAGGTGGGTGGAAGACACCTCTCTATCCGTCTCTGCCTCCGCCTCTCTGTTACTCTTTCAAGTAACATAAATACATCTTAAACAAAACAAAAACAAAAATTTAGTAACAGAAGCTACTATTCCACTTGACTGCACTGCTGCTTATATTATAGTCTTTTTTTAATATTTATTTTATTTATTTGAAAGAGTTACAGAGAGAGGTAGAGCCAGAGAGAGAGGGAGAGAGGTCTTCCCTTTGCTGCTTTACTTCCCAAATGACATCAACGGCCAGAGCTGAGCTGATCTGAAGCCAGGAGCCAGGAGCTTCTTCTGGGTCTTCCACGTGAGTTTAAGAGCCCAAGGACTTGGGCCATCTTGCACTCCTTCCCCAGGCCATAGCAGAGAGCTGGATGGGAAGTGGAGCAGCTGGGACTTGAACTGGTACCCATATGGGATGCCGGCACTGCAGGCTGGGGCTCTAACCCGCTGCGCCATAGCGCCAGCCCCTCACATTATAGTCTTGATACTGACCACTTTCTGGAATTCCATGAGCCTATAGCATTCTGGGCACTGATGGTCAATTTTCCCACCATTTTCTATTATAAATCCGTGGTGAGTATAATCAGTCACCAGGAAACTGACCTTCACCTTGACACAGAGGCACCATTGAGGTGTTAACTCCTCCTCTATTCTTTTCTCATCAGCTGTGACAAAGTGATATAGTTCCATAAACACAAATGCAGATATGTGTTATGAAACCAGGAAACCATACAGGAACACACAGCTATAAATTGTTATCTAGTAAGTCTGAACTTTCTTTGATTAAAATTTCAAATATTCATAGCAGCATTTATAATAACCAAATGACAGAAGCAACCGAGGCGTCCATCAACAGATGACGGGCTATACACAAGTGGTAACACCTCCATGCAAATGGAACTCTATGCCAGTTTAAAAGGAAAGACTAACCTGGCACATGGGTGAACCTGGAGGACGTTATGCTAAGTGAAACAAGCCAGCCACAGGAGGACACACGCATAGGTCGAAAAGTTTATGAAAAACACATACTACGAAAACATGTGCATGGACCTCCCTTTTTTTGCACCAGAATAAACTAAATTTTAATTCCATTTTCCACAAACGTTTTGAAGCCCTCCTGCATGTATGAATCCACTTACATGAGTTTCCTGAAGGAGTCAAGTTCATGCAAAGCAGCAGCGTGGTCTCCAGGGACACAGAGGCAGGAGCGGGGAGCTCAGTGCTTAGCGGGTCCAGGGTTTTGTTGTGCAAGACGAGAAGCATCCTGTGGGTGGCTGTGAGGACGGCTGCACCACAGCGTGAACGTCTGTCATTCTATGGAACTGCACACCTACAGACAGTGCCTGTGGCGTCTTAGGCCGCCTTTGGCGCTAGGACAAGGTACCCGAGACCGGGAGCCTTCCACGGAGGTTGGTTTGGCTCACAGTTCTGGCAGCTGGAAGGCCCAAGCAGCACAGCACTAGCACCCGGGTGAGGGACCCCTGGCTGTATAATAATCTGGTGGGGAAGCAGAAGGGAATCGCCTGTGGGGCCAAGCGGAGCAGCGGCCTCTCTCTGTAACAACCCGCTCTCTTGAGAGCTCACACACTCCCAAGACCAGCGAGCATCCCTTCTGAGGCGGCACCCTGTGACCTCACCACATCCCACCAGGCCCCACGTCTTAAGGGTTCTGCTGCCCTAGCATCGCCACACCGGGGCCCAGGCCTTCGGCAACAGACCCTTGGAGGGTACACTCAAAGCATCGCAGATGATAAATTTTATGTGCGTTTTACAACAAAAAGTGAAAATTTAACATGTATCACCAAATGGAAGGCCAAATTCCACATACTTACAGAGAACCGCTGGAGGCTAACCCTCTCGCCCGGGGCCACCCTGCAGCGCCAGCCTGCAGCGCTCACAGGAACCCTCCCGCTGCCCTCCCTCCCGCTGCCCACCCTCCCGCCGCCGCCCAACTCTCCACGCCAACCTAACTCCGAGCATCCGCAACACCAACCTCACCTCTTTGCCTCGGCTCAGGCCTTTCCCCATCTGCTTTTATTACCTGTTTGTTGGGCTGCGTCCTTTTTCCTCCTCCTCACAGCAGAGGGCACAGTCCTCAGGGAGCCCCTCCCACCCAAGGGCATCAGTGCCCCGTGCTTAGCAGGAGGCATATATCAGGAGTCATCCCAACTGCCTGGGACCTTAGCATATAGGCGACAGAGCGCTGGCTCCCGGAACCCAGTGCTGCACTGTCTGCTTTTTATGTCTGTCACAGACCCTTACATGTTGTACAAATGTTTACTGTAATGTTCCTACTGGTGATCCACACAGATGCACAGCCAACGTTGAACTACCGAAATCAAGAATAGTGCAGGGGCCGGCGACGCAGCTCACTAGGCTAATCCTCCGCCTTGCAGCGCCGCCACACCGGGTTCTAGTCCCAGTCAGGGCGCCGGATTCTGTCCCGGTTGCCCCTCTTCCAGGCCAGCTCTCTGCTGTGGCCAGGGAGTGCAGTGGAGGATGGCCCGAGTCTTTGGGCCCTGCACCCCATGGGAGACCAGGATAAGTACCTGGCTCCTGCCATCGGGTCAGCGCGGTGCGCCGGCCGCAGCAGCCATTGGGGGGTGAACCAACAGCAAAGGAAGACCTTTCTGTCTGTTTCTCTCTCTCACTGTCCACTCTGCCTGTCAAAAAAAGAAATCGCACTGTGGTGGATTCAGAGGGAGCAGTGCAGGGCTTGCCTAAAGTGACCGGATGCTCTGTTGGTGGCGGTGCACTGTATGCTGCATCATCTGTGAAAAGCAGGACTCAGTTCAGCGGGGATTCTGCAGGAGAGACCCTGGACCTAGCTTCCAGAAGCTTCCAGAATGGCAGCTACAACGTTGTTTGGTCATGAATGCCTGGTGTCAGAGCATCCACAACACGTACTGCTTCACAGGCGCCCTTGAATAGGGGCTAACAGGTGTCGGTGCAAACGCTGAAGATTTCATTCACAAATGAGAACAGTGTTTGAGCAGAGAGAATTTTAAGGACATTTAATATAATCAATTTCTTGACCTCAGATTTGAGTTTTTAAAAAACTATATTCAAGTTCTGAGCACTTTCCTTACAGAATTTTGCACGCAGCCCACTGTGTACACAAAGGTAAAACACCATCTGTATTTGTTAATTCCTCTCATGTTGCTACTTCCGAACGACTTAGAACCTTCAGTCATTGCAAAGTTTGTCAAAGGTTACGTTTCCTTCCCCTGCGTCATTTTCTCTCCTTGTGCTCCCGAGTATAGCTTCGGGGCGCAGGGTATTCGTTCCCGAGATCCACAACAATCACCTCCCTAGAGAAGGTCACCCCTTTTAGAGGTCTCTTGTGATTTTCCAAAGCTGAGGGAGTTCTGCTGACAGGTAAGTGTGTTTTCTGCAACGGAATGGGACAAAGTGTGCAAATGATCAACTCACGAACCTAGCAAGCCCTGCTTTTCAAAAATACGGGTTAAACGTCCATTCTTAAGGAAGAACAGAAACTGCAACTCTAATGACATAGGAAAGCATCGACCATCCATCAGGATCCCAGTTTCACATTTCTATGGTTATAAAAGCCCACAGTGACAATATTCAAATAACCCGCGGTGACACCCGTGACACCATGCAGCAGTGAAACCCAAGAGCAGCGGGCGGGCCTAGGAGTTGTTCCTGTCGGGAGCCATGGATGCGCGCTCAGCAGGCCTGCCAAGGACTGAGCTGCTGAGAAGCCTGGAGCCGGAGCAGGGACCTGGGGTCTGCTCCCGCGCTCCGCCTCTGTGAGAAGCCAGCAATTCGCTTCCACTTCTCACGTGTAACCTGACAGGGCTGGGTCCCCAGAGGATCTCCAAGGTCTTTTACAAGCTCTAAGATCTGGGATGCCAGGAAAACAAAAATAATGAAGAACTAGCAAGCCTCCAGGCCCGGCAGGTGTCATGGGTTTAATGACAGGAACCAATAGGCCAAGGAGGAGAAGGGTTTCAATGACTCACCGACCCTGGACTCACTCCAGGTGCAAGCCTAAGTTACACCGCGTTTCCAATGGAACATAAATCCCAAAGTGCCCCGGCAGCAGGAGAGCAATCACCTCTTGACTGGCTTCCTCGGCATTCTCAGGGTCTTTGGCTTTGTCCTCCTCCTCTGCCTCCACATCGTCTCTGTTTTCAAAGTTCACCACTTCCCTGCTCCGTCTCTGAACAAGAATGCCGGGCCTCACTGGTGGGTTCAAGTCCACCATTTGCCTCAGGATCCTGGGAAATCAATGAGCGTTTTAAAAATGCATGCATCTCGGGCACTACCACCACGCGGCAAGGTGCGTTTCCAGGGGCGGCTGAAGGGACAGACTCACTTCTCCTGGTCTCCCGGGGCGATCGGCCCCACATTGGCAGCTGAGCAATCTTCCCCTCCGTTAGCATCTGCGCACGGAACTTTGTCTGTCTCTTCACGTTTCTTGCTTCGGAAACTGCAAGCAAAGGAGCAGAACCGTCATGAGCGTTCTGGGAGTCAGGATTTCCCTGTGAAACAGGAGGTCATCAGCATTTCTACTCCCTGACCCGGAGAGAGGAGATAGATAGCCATGGCGCTATTACTCGTTCTATCTTAAATCCTCGTACATTACTTCTAGATACATTTGCTAGTGTGACTTGAAATCTGATCCCAATTTATCAGCATGGACTTATACCATTTATATAAAAAAACCACCAATAAAAGGAGGATGCAAATGAGGCAAATCAGAAGCAGGACGAAGAAAGAGAATGCCGTGGTTTCAAAGCTCATAGGGTTAGCTAGAAGACGCGTCCACTCTCACAGCCAGCAGACTGTCCAAATACTCTTCTCCAGCCCAGTTCGAACGCAGTTTCTTGTTGCTTAGCTTTTCTAGAAACACAGGAATAAAAGGCTGTTTTCACTGTTGCTCTTGTGATCAGTTCAGCTTCTTAACAGATACTCTTGTCAGTGGAGTCGACTCACACTGGCTAATTTCTCTCCATAAATGTGGTGGGGGCTGAGGTGGCCAGAGGGGAGACTGAGCTGGGACACACGTGGATCACTCAGCTCACCTCCCCTCACCCCAAAACTACCAAAACCCAGAGGAGGGAGGAATCGGAGCAGCTGGAGCCGAGCCCAACTCCCCATTCTTCTCTCTTCGGTGACATCACAGAACCACGGAACCGCGGGGCTGGAGACCAGAGCGCCCCCTGCCAGCCCATCACAGAGGCAGGGGACCCACTGACTTCTCTCCGGGCTGCTACTCGTCTGGCTTCTCCTCTGAGAGGCGTAGGGAGCAGCCACGGGGCAGCGTCCCGAGTGTTCTGTCCAGGTCTCCATGTAAGTGCAGGAGCCCAAGGACTTGGGCCATCCTCCACTGTTTTCCCAGGCTCATTAGCAAGGAACTGTATTGGAAGTGGAGCAGCCAGGACTTGAACCGGTACCCATATGGGATGCTGATGCTGCATGCTGGGACTTTAACCCACTATGCCACAGTGCTGGCCCCTCTACTTCCTTCTTACAAACTCTCTCCCAGGAGCCCTGGGGTCAGTAGCCAGCTCCCTTCCTGAGGGTGCCCCAGGCTGCTTCTTGGACCTACTTCCTGGGCACACAAGCAAACTGAAAGTTCTTACCCCATGGCTGAAGAAGCAGGAGTGGGAGGAGACGATCAGAGTGAGGATGACCCCTGCCCCGACCTAACTTCAGGTAAGAGTGAGTGGCCGGCACTGAGGCTCGCTAGGTTAATCCTCTGCCTGTGGCGCCGGCACACAGGGTTCTAGTCCCGGTCCAGGCTCCGGATTCTGTCCCGGTTGCTCCTCTTCCAGTCCAGCTCTCTGCTGTGGCCCGGGAAGGCAATGGAGGATGGCCCAAGTGCTTGGGCCCTGCACCCCATGGGAGACCAGGAGGAAGCACCTGGCTCCTGGCTTCGGATCAGCACGGTGCGCCGGCCACAGCGGCCATTGTGGGGTGAACCAGTGGAAAAGGAAGACCTTTCTCTCTGCCTCTGTCTCCTCACTATCCACTCTGCCTGTCCAAAAAAAAAAAAAAAAAAGAGTGAGTGATACCCAGGGCCCAGAGAGGGTAGAGTCAGGCTTTTCTGAGAAGAAAAATTGGTACAAAAGACAACAGCAGCTGCTGCCAGCTGCAACCACGGCAGTCAGGGCGAGCCTGGGGGCAGGCATCTTGGCCTCTGTTGTGCTGCTGTAACAAAAGACCACAGAGTGAGTAATTCACAAAGAACAGACACTTATTTCTTACACTGGGGGGCTGGGAAGCCCAAGATCAGGGCGCCAGCAGGTTGGGGCCCAGCTTCCCTGCTGCCAAGACGGGGCCTGGAACTGCCCGGTAGGGAGGAAGGCTGCGTGCACGCTGGGCAGAAGAGCGGGCAAGAGCGAGCGCACGCATGACAGCTGCCCCCTCCCCACCCCCAGGACATCGATCCGGCTCAGATGCCCACTTCCTTACGCCGTGCACTGGGGACACGGGAATGCTGGATGGGCCACAAGCGGGCCCCAGCAGCGACACTGGCTCTCCCCACAAAGAGGGGCTGCAGCATCTTCTGTCTTTGGTTGTCCCATAAAGTCAGAACTTATGTATTCCATACATGTTGAATGAGTGTAAGGTGTGTGTGTGTGTGTGTGTGAGAGAGAGAGAGAGAGAGAGAGAGAGAGAGAGAGAGTTGTGGGAGGGCTCAGGCCAAGGCCAGCTTCGCAGAAAATCTGACCAACTGAGCCACTTCTGGCGGAAGTCAGTTGATGCCAGCACGATTCCTCTAGCCAAGGCTCCCGTGTGAAAACTCAGAGTGCACCTCCCACTCCTTCTTCTTTCCTGCTGCCAGAATGAAACTTTAAAAGCCCAAATTTGTTCCTAGGCCTTGTCTACACACAGGCTATTTCGGGGGAGAAGGAGATATTCCACATTGAACTGCTGGCGGTTACAAGGGCACTCACAAAGGTAAAGTCCCATCAACTGCCTTGTTAAGAACAGTGCATCACGCCGGGATAAAAAGGCAAGGAAGGCTCCGGCCGAGCCAGAGTGCGAGTGTGGGGCCGGAGGAGTGCTGGGCTCGAGTGCGCTGCCTGCGCTCTTCCTGACTCCGGGATCTGCGCGAGGCCACGCAGCAGCAGCACCGAATGCTGGCCACACTGCATCATATGGGCTTCCACTGAATTCAGCTTCGAGAATCAACATCTTAAATTGCTAAGCACAGTTAATGTGATTCTGGAAAGTGAAGGGTTATCCATCTTGGGTCTCTAAATCACATTTGAAATGCAGTAGACTGTCAGCGTTGTGAGGCGGTGGGGTCTCATGCAGATGAGTCTCCAGGCCAGCACAGTGTGTGTCCACAGATGTCTGCTCAAAAATTATGTGCAGTGGGACATCGCTACCAATTCTACAAAGATATAAGAAGATCCTAAAGCAGGAATTGTATGCCAAAAGACTGTGTTACCTAGATGAAATGGAGGAATTCCTGAAAACACAGAACCTACCAGGATTAAATCATAAAGAAATGGAAAAATCCAAATAGACCTCTGGTGAGATTGAATCAATAATGAAAAAGCTCCCACAGAAGAAGAGCCCTGGCTGAGATGGTTTCATCTGGGATCTCTAGCAAACATTTAAAGAAGAAAAACGATCTTTCTCAGGTTGTTCCAAAAAATTAATCACTCTATGAAATTGGCATTACACTGGTACTAAAACAGGCACTACAAGAAGACTAAAGGCCTATATTCCTTGTGAATATTGATGCGAAAAATCCTCAACAAAGCATTAACAAATTTAGCAGCAAATGAAAACAATTATACTCCATGACCAAGTGAGATTTACTCCTAGAATATGAGGACGATTCAATTTACAAAACTCAACCACATCATCACATTAACAGAATGAAGATTTTTAAAAACCACCACATATATCATTATCAAGTGTTGCATAAAAAAGATTTTGAAATATTGTGTTTTTTTTTGTTTTGTTTTGTTTTTTGTTTTTGTTTTTGTTTTTGTTTTTGTTTTTACAGGCAGAGTGGACAGTGAGAGAGAGAGACAGAGAGAAAGGTCTTCCTTTGCCGTTGGTTCACCCTCCAATGGCCGCCGCGGCCGGCGCGCTGCGGCCGACTCACCGCGCTGATCCGAAGGCAGGAGCCAGGTGCTTCCTCCTGGTCTCCCATGGGGTGCAGGGCCCAAGCACCTGGGCCATCCTCCACTGCACTCCCTGGCCACAGCAGAGAGCTGGCCTGGAAAGGGGGCAAACGGGACAGAATCCGGCGGCCCGACCAGGACTAGAACCCGGTGTGCCGGCGCCGCTAGGCGGAGGATTAGCCTAGTGAGCCGCGGCGCCGGCCAGATTTTGAAATATTGAACACTGTTTCCTGATCAAGCCAATCACCAGGGCTGGCGTTGTGACATACCAGGTAAAGTTACTGTGTGTGACACTGGCATCCCATACACGTGCTGGTTTGTGTCCCAGCTGCTCCACTTCTGATCCAGCTCCCTGCTAATGGCCTGGGAAAGCAGTGGAAGATGGCCCAAGTGTTTGGGTCCCTGACACCCACATGGGTGACCTGGATGGAGCTCCGGCTCCTGGCTTTGGCCTGGCCCAGTGTAGGCTGTTGTGAACCAGCAGATGTAAGATTACTTCCTCTCTCTGTAACTCAAATTTTCAAAATAAATAAATAAAACTTTTAAAATAAATAAATAAATCATTCAACAAATGAAGAACAGAAGTAAACTACTTCAACATAATAATGGTCACATATGAAAATCTCACAGTTAACATCCTTCTCAATGGTGAGAAAATGGTATTGGTAAAGCACAAGAACTTCTACCACTCAACAACAAACCTCATTTTAGTTTAGTTTTATTTTCTTTATTTGAAAGGCAAAGTGACAGAGAGAGATACTTTCTGCCTGCTGGTTCACTCCCTATTTATTCATTTATTTAAAAGGTAGAGTGGCACACAGAAAGAGAGCTTCCATTTCCTGCTTTACTCCCCAAATGCACGCCACAGTGCAGGCTGCTGGGCCAGGCTGAAGCCGGGAACTCAACCCAGGTCTCCCTCATGGGGTGCAGGGACTCGAGTACTTGAGCCATGTCTGCTGCCTCTCAGGATACAAACTGGCCTCAGGGTTAAGAGGCCGCTTGGGACCCCTGCATGCCGTCAGAGAAGCTACTTTGTGTCCCGGCTCTTGCACATATCCAGCCTGCTGCTAATGTGCGCCCTGGGAGACAGCAGATGATGGCTCAGTGGGAGCTCTGGACTGAGCTCCTGGTTCCTGGCTTCAGCCAGGCCAGCCCAGGCTGTAGTGAGCTTTTGGGGAATGAACCATGAGATGAAAGATCTCTCTCTGCCCTTCAACTGAAGTGAAGATAAATAATTATTCTTAAATGAGAAAAGGATTTCAATAGATATTTGTCAAGACATTACACAAATGACCACCAAAGTGTTCAATATCACTGATGATTAGGGAAGTACAAATCAAAACCACATTGTTACATTACTTCACATCCATTCTGATGGTTAGAAAAAAATGAAAAGTCAAGTATTGATGAAGATGTGGAAAAATTGGAAGCTTTGTGCATTGCTGGTGGGTAAAATAGTGCAGTTGCTGGGAAAAACAGCTTGGCAGCTCCTCAAAAAATTATAGAATTACCCCGTGATGCAGCAATTCCCCTTCTGGGCATGCACATAAAGGAAATGAAAGCAGGGACCCAAACAGCTATTGTGCACCCCCATTCATAGCAGGATTATTCATAATAATCAAAGGGTGGAGACAACACAAATGTCCATCAGTGGATGAAAAGATAAAATGGGGTGTGTACACGCAATGAATACTACTCAGGCTTAAAAAGAATGAAATTGTGCCAGCGCCGTGGCTCACTTGGTTAATCCTCCACCTGTGGTGCCAGCATCCCATATGTGTGCCAGGTTCTTGTCCCAGTTGCTCCTCTTCCAGTCCAGCTCTCTGCTGTGGCCCAGGAAGGCAGTGGAGGATGGCCCAGGTGCTTGGGCCCCTGTACCCCCATGGGAGACCAGGAGGAAGCACCTGGCTCCTGGCTTCAGATTGGCGCAGTGCCAGCCATAATGGTCATTTGGGAAGTGAACTCTCTCTCATGTCTATAACTCTACCTGTCAAAAAAAAAAAAAAAAAGAATGAGATTGTGATTCATGCTACAACATGGGCAAATCCTGTAGGCATTATGATAAGTGAAGTAACCCACAGACAAAAGAGCACATACTGCCTAGTTCCACTTACATGTGGTACCTAGAAGTCGAACTCACAGGAGAGAATGCTGGTTCCCAGGGGCTGGAGGGCGTGGGAAAGTGGGGACTCCACCAGTGATGGCTACAGAGTTTCAGTCTGGGATGATGAAAACATTCCAGACATGGAGAATGGTGATGGCTGCACAATAATGTGAATACACTTACTACTACTCAATTACATTTTATGGTAAAAATGGTAAATTTTATGTATATGTTATCACAATTAAAAAAATTATTTATGGGGGCCATCATCGTGGTACAGCAGGTTAGGCCACCGTCTCCAGTGCCATCAAGATGGGAGCACTGGTTCAAGACCCTGATGCTCTGCTTCTGATCCAGCTCTCTGCCAATGGCCTGGGAAAGCAGCAGAATATGGCCCAAGGGTTTGGGCCCCTGCACCCAGGTGGAAGACCTGAATGGAGTTCCAAGCTCTTGGCTTTGGCCTAGCCCAGCCCTGCCTGTTATGGCCATTTGGGGATGAACCAGTGGATGAAAGATATCTCTGTGTCTCTCTCTCTCTGTCTCTGCCTTTCAAATAAAACAAAATAAAATAAATCATTGGGGGTAGGGGGTAAAACCAAGCTTATGGAACAAAGGAAAGGAAACTCATGTGCAAAATGGCCAGGAACGTGGCAGGTCCTGGAAAAACAAAACCAGCACAGAAATCTCTTTTCAATTTTTACCCACCTGGGGCCAGCGCCATGGCACCAGCATCCCATATGGGCACCAGTTCTAGTCCCGGCTGCTCCACTTCCAATCCAGCTCTCTGCTATGGCCTGGGAAAGCAGCAGAAGATGGCCAAGTCTTTGGGCCCCTAAATCCACTTGGGAGATCAGAAGAAGCTCCTGGCTTCAGATGAGCCCAGCTCCGACCGTTGCAGCCAACTGGGGAGTGAACCAACAGCAGGAAGATCTCTGTCTCTCCCTCTCACTATCTGTAACTCTACCTCTCAAATAAAATAAAATCTTTAAATAAAAAAAAAAATTGTACCCACTGTTCACTTGTTCGTGTCCCCAGAACACTGAAATTTTTATTTCCTTCTGTTATCAAAACTTCTTTTCAAATTCTTCACAAGAATGCCTTATTTTAACTTAAAGTGTTTCTACCCTCAGAGTTATCTGTGTCTTTTTTGTTTCTTCAAATTACAGGTTTATGGTAAAGGCTACAGAGTCACAGCCAGATGAAGAGGTGCACTAGGCAAGATCTGTGGGAAGTGGTGCCCGTCCACACACTGTGCAGGTGCACCCCAGCCCCGCTCCAATATCTGCATCTTAACATGGCCTTAAGGGGAAGACGAGACATCCAGGGAGGAATGGAGCATTCCCTTTGCGGGTAAGGCTCCTGACGTCTGCCGTGCTGGGTCAGACCTCAGTTCTCCTAGGATTAGCAGTCCTGCCTCACCTCCCATTGCCTGCTTCTGGGCTCCTTTGCTGTGGTGGCCAGGGGGTGTGTACTCGTGGTGAGTGTCCACAGTACACGGGCTCCAGAGGGGGCCAGGGCATGCACGTGAATCCCCACCTAGCTCTCAAGACCTTGATCCAAGGGATCTGGTGGAATCCAGTGATGAAAACCTGATCCCTGAATGACAAGCGAGGTGAGGACACCCAGAAGACTTAGTCACAGCTACCAGAATTGGGAAACCAGGGGTAGATTTGGGACACAGGCCTGCTGATCAAGACAGTCCACAGTTTAAGGGTCAACAGACACAACCTGCATCCCTCGTGTCAGAGAGCCTGGCTTCAAGTCCTGGCGGCACTGCTTCTAATCCAGCTTCTGGCTGATGCACACCCTGGGAGGCCACAGATGATGGCCCAAGAGCCTGGGATCCTGCCACCCATGTGGAGACCCTGGATGGAGTTCTGGGCTTCTGGCTTCAACCTGGCCCAGCCCTGGCTTGTTGTGGGCATTTTGGGAAGTGGACCAGCAGATGGAAGCTCTCTTTCCATCTGTCTGCCTCTCCCCCGTTCTTTCAGATAAAATAAATAATAATAATAAAAAATCAGGTCAATTGGTATTAGGGTCAAGACACAGCACAGAAGAGAGCAGGGCTGAGAGGCAGGGGCAAAACAAATGACTGCTCTATGGAGCCCCTGGTGCACAGAGCAGGCTGGGAGCTGGGCTTGCAGCCGCGGGCCAACCCCTTTCCTCTTTGGCTTCAGCCAGTTTGACTGGGCTTAGGTCTCTGGCAACACAGTGCTGTCACCAGCATCGTACTGCCCCTTTTCTGAGCCATGGACATGCGAGCCACCTGACTTGCTGGCATTAAGTAGGCTCTCTCCAGCCTCTGCTGTCAGATTAGAGATGAGCTATTCCCCAGTTTGGCTAGAAGGGCTGCCTGGAGACTTTGTTTCACGCTTTAGAAAGTAGAAATTACCAAAACTTATCAACATCTAGCCATAATATGTAACAGCATGCCTGGATTGAAATTTTTTTTCTTCATTAATGGTCAACACCTGTTTTTACCAGATGACGAAAGGAGAAAACACCATGATAAATGGCTACTACTTCATTGCAATGCCCACAGAAAAGAAAGCCTGCTCTGATGAAAGACCTTTGTTTTATGATCTACAGTTAGCCTTAAAAAAAAAAAAGATTTATTTATTTATTTGAAAGGCAGTTACAGAGAGGCAGAAGCAGAGAGAGAGAGAGGTCTTCCATCCGCTGGTTCACTCCCCAGATGACCACCATGGCTGGAGATGTGCCGATCCGAAGTCAGGAGCTTCTTCTGGGTCTCCCACGTGGTTGCAGGAGCCCAAGGACTTGGGCCATCTTCTACTGCTTTCCCAGGCCACAGCAGAGAGCTGGATCAGAAATGGAGCAGCCGGGACTAGAGCTGGCGCCCATATGGGATGCTGGCACCACAGGCGTTGGCTTTATCTGCTATGCCATAGCACTGGCCCCTACAGCTAGCCTTTTTATGAAGCCAGCATTTAGAACCTCAGCAAGCCATTGCAGGCTGCAAGGTTTCCAGGTAATCGGTTCATGACCTGATGGTTTCCATGGAACGAGCAACCCTGAACTACAGAAGCGGAAACGCTGCCCTCATCTGGGAGACTGATGCCAGGGAGGAAGCAGGCGCTAACTCGCAGACACCTTCGTTCAGAGGAAGAGCCTGGAAACCACTGCAAAAAACTTGCAAACCCACCCACCTCGCGCTATTTATCTGGGACCAAAACGGCTTTGAGAGAGTGTGTCAGAAGGGGAGTACTAACAATGCTACATCAGAACCTCCCAGAACTGGGCGAATAATTCCTTGCTTGAACCACACTAGCCACGACATCCACACACACACACACACACCCCAGGGTACATTTTATTTATTTATTTATTTAAACTTTATTTATTTGAGAGACAGAGATGGAGGCAGAGAGAGAGAGAGAGAGAGAGAGAGAGAGAGAGAATATGAATCTCCCGTCTGCTGGTTCACTCCCCAAATGGCCACAATGATTGGGGCTGATCAGGCTGAAGCATGGAGCTGAGAACTCCGGCCAGGGCTCCCACACAGATGGTAGGAACCCAATTACTTGAGCCAACACCTTGTTGCCTCCCAAGATCTGTAGTAGCAGGAAGCTGGACAGAGGCCAGAGCCAGAGGCAAACAAGATGGGACGCAGCATCTTAGCCGCCAGCACACTCTGAGGTCACCTCCTCCTGCGCTCTACCACAGGATCCTACAGATGGAGGATCGGCTAAGGATTCGGCCACCACTGAGCCATCATTCCAGAGGTCCTGCTTCCCTCTTCTGCTCTGTGAAGGGCGTATCTGGGCTGCAGGGAGAGGACAAACCTCTTCTTGGATATCTGAAGACCAAATTCCAAGGACTTCAAAAAACAGTGGCCTTGATGCCACCCCTTCCGGAGACACCTGGGAAACATTAAGGCTGACCTAGCTCTTCTGTTCCTGGGGGAATTCCTGACCTTGTGCTTCCGACCCTGCAGCTCATCTCAAGGGGGCGAGTTTCCCCCGGGGTTTCTTGGCTGAGCCTTTCACATGTCCTCTCAAGGCCCCTCCTCACTTCTCATGCCTGTAACAACCCACATCCCGGACCAGGCAGTAGGAACCATTTTCAAGGGGCAGATGGGAGACTTCTTTGGAGGTTTTATTTTGGAAACTTGAGCCTTAGAGGCTGAGAACGTTGTCTCTGCCGGGGGTTCTGCTGTGGGAAGCGAGGCCAAGCCCCCACTCAGTGGTTCACCCACCAGTAACAAGTTGGTAGCAGGTGGAGTTTCCTTTTTGATAATTTTTCTCAACCTATAAATTTGGTGCTTCTACTACCTTCTAAACATAATTTCTTCTGATCATTTGTACTGTTATCATTTATATGTCTTTTTTTTAAAATTTATTTGAAAGTCAGAGTTACATAGAGAAGGAGAGACAGAGAGAGAGAGAGCTTCCATCTGCTGGTTCACTCCTCAGTTGGCCGCAACAGCCAGAACTGCACAGATCCAAAGCCAGGAGCCAGGAGCCTCCTCCAAGTCTCTCACGTAGATGCAGGGACCCAAGGACTTGGGCCATCTTCTACTGCTTTCCCAGGCCATAGCAGAGAGCTAGATTGGAAGTGGAGCAGCCAGGACTTGAAGTGGTGCCCATATGGATTGCTGGCACTGCAGGCAGCGGCTTCACCCGCTATGCCACAGCACTGGCCCCAAAATATAGTCTTTCAGTTTTAAGTACTGATGAAAACATGCTGCAAGTGGGAGTGTGAATTAAACTTAATATTCCAAGAAAACTGTGTAAAAACATGTAAAAGAAAATTCAGTAGTTTATCAAAATAGTGCTTAGGGCTGGGGTTGTAGCATAGTGGGTCGATTCACGGATTGCAACGCTGACATCTCATTCACGCTGGTTCATGTCCCAGCAGCTCCTCTTCTAACCCAGCTCCCTGCTAATGTGCCCATGAAAAGCAGTGAGAGATGGTCTAAGTGCACCGATCCGAAGCCAGGAGCTTCTTCCGGGTCTCCCACGTGGGTGCAGGGGCCTAAGGACTTGGGCCATCTTCTACTGCTTTCCCAGGGCATCGCAGAGAGCTGGATCGGAAGTGGAGCTGCCGGGATTAGAACCAGTGCCCATATGGGATGCCGGCACTTCAGGTCAGGGCACTACCCCGCTGTGCCACAGCACCGGCCCCTACAATACCAATTTTCATCAAGTTCCACTGAACCATGAACAGAATTATTTGAGTAGTGAAATGATAAAGACAATAAAAATATTTTCAGAATTTTCCTGAATTCTGTAAGGGAAAAACTGGAGAATGGGAGAGAAGCAATTGTGAGTTTCATACATATTACTAATGATGCTATATTTCTTAATGTGGATTATGGCTTCAAAGGGATTAATTTTACTATTATGTCCCCTCATAAATTGCATAGTTTTCTGTGAGTAATGTAATTTTTAAAAAAATACTATCAGGACTAAAGCAAGTAAGATATTGGGAGAACATATACCTGTTAGAGGTGTGGTTACCTTTACAAGGTGGATTTATGGGAGACTTCACTTTTTACACTATGTTTCTGAATTTTTAAAGTTATTGTAGTTTTACTTATTTTTGTTTTTAAATGGTAACATTCACGTGATTCAAAAATAGAGCTGTCTCTCACACTACCTCTGCCATCCTGCCCACCCCATAGGAAACCATGATTATTAATTCGGTTCATGTGTTATTTCTGAAACTGGGAAGAGGAAAGGATCCTCCTCCCCATGCTTGCCAGCAAGATGCCTGTGGGTGCCTCACATACTAACAGCCCGTAACAGTTCTTTGCCTACCTGTTGCACCTGTTGCATAGTAACTTGCAACAGCTGCTGCTTTTGAAAAAAAAAAAAAAATGCTGAGCTCTCTTTCCAGCACCCCTGATAAAACTCGACCTAGCTGGCTGCAGCCAACCTTGTCACGGAGCCTGCACAGATGGACTCCGTGTAAGCAGTTACCTTATGGGTCGTTGTAAAGCACACTGGCGCACCTGCGATGACACATCACACAGTGTTCAAAGATGACACGACTGGGCATGGCACACGCTCAGAGGACTACCCCAGGCTTTGCCTCTGCACCTAGCGTCTTCTGTCTCTTTGCTTTGCCAAAACTCCATAGATACCCAACCCCTTTCTGTTCAGGGAGATGGATTTGGGCTTCAGTATGACTTGTCCCTTTTTCTACAAGCCTGTAGTTAATCATGAATGTTCTTTCTCAGATGGTGAGTCCAGTGTTTCCACAGCAGTCACAGTGTGCACGAGCTGGGGAACTTGCCCAATCACATTTCCAGAAAGAATGTGGGCACAAGAGAACAAACCCTCTCGCTTCTCCTACCCCACACAAAAGGCACACCTTACAACACTGTTCGCACCATGGCTTTTCATCTTAGCAAGAAATCCTGAGTTCTTTCCATAGAAATACATAGGGAACCTCCTTGTTCTTCATTGCTTTATAATGCTACGTCATGCATACATACCACCATTTTAAAAAAAGAGCAGTCCTCTGATGGATACCTGGGTAGTTTCCCATATTTTGCTGTTACAAACAATAATCTCTTACCACCTCATTTCACATGCAAGCAAGTGTATCTGTAGGAAAAATTCCCAAAAGCAGGTTGTTCACTCAAAGTGTAGAAGAACTCTGTACAGTGATCTGCCCTCCAGGAGACCCAACAGGCCAGGCCACTGCATTGGTTTTCAATGTGGAAAGCCCAGGTTTCAGCGGAAGTCAGCTTATGAAGAGCCCTGGCAGCTGCACCAGTTAAGAGTTGGATCACTGGAAACTGAATGGCCCTGGCGTCGGAGGACACCCAGGTCAGAGCGGCAGATCTTGCTGGCTCTAAGCTGAAAAGCCCTTCATTCAGCCCAGCTTCCAAAGTGACCACCACTGCTGAGGGGGTGGCCAAGTAGGGTGAGTAACACTGCAGGCAGAGCTGTAGATTTCCCGTTAGAGTTGCCACCTGCCTTCACCTGGCCAGCTCTCCTCCCAGGCCAGTCAACAGGTGCCTTCCCCAAGGAGGTTCACACCCCCCTTAAGATGTACCCCATGTGAAGAGATAGATAGGTCTGGGCCCCCTAACAGACAAGTCCTTAAAGCCCACCTGATTGTTATCAGCCCCTTCCGTCAGTTTCTATTTGCCTCTCAACCAGATTTAGTTGTGGTTTAGACAGCAGCTTTCTTAGGTTTTCCAATGATGACTCTGTCTTTTGTTCTAGCCCATCTGAGGCCTGATTCCTTTGTAATCATAGCCTCTACTCTAACATCAATGGCTCTACTCCCAACCTGTGTGTATGGATGGTCCTCTCCCCCACTTAATGCTGTATGATTTCAGAATTTCTCCACCTGCAAAAGATGAGTGGCTTTTCTCCCCATCTTGGTTGGGATTAGCTTTGGACCATGTCCATCAAACAGTCCTCACAAGGGTCCAGAGACCCCCCATATTTCCAATCCTCTCATTACCTGGTTAATGCCACTCATAGGATCATTGGTTACTATTCTCACCCTGACTTTTTTACTACTGTGTCTGTTTAAGTGTTTACAGCAGGTGATAATGGAATGAACCAAGGCCTTCACCAACCAGACAGTCAATCAAATGCTGCTACAGGGATATACTCGGCTCCCCACCAGGAGACAGCGGCTTGAGACATCGCCCCATGACAGCAGAGAGTACTTCGTCACCCCATGTCAGCAAGAACTAGCTCTAAAGACTGATCATTATCCCTCTACCTCTCCTGGACTTTTGGGGTTAATGTAATCCCATACAACTCCTGCTTTATAAAAACACAAGGGATGAATGCCAGGAAAATGGCGCAGTCTTATCTACACCCCAGACACGACCCTAGGCTCTGACCCCTGCCACCATTGCTGGAAGCCAGGAGACCACATGGCCCAACCACCAGTGTCAGCTGCATCCCCACCCTAATAGGGTTTGCTGCTCCTACTTCCCTGCCCACCCCCTGGCAGTTTCAAGAGGACTGGTTCCTGGATTCTGCTCTGGTTGCCCCTCTTCCAGTCCAGCTCTCTGCTGTGGTCCGGAAAGGCAGTGGAGGATGGCCCAAGTACTTGGGCCCTGCACCTGCATGGGAGACCAGGAGGAAGCACCTGGCTCCTGGCTTCGGATTGGCGTGGCTCGCTCCCCATCTCCCTCTTCTTCCTTCTTCGACCCTTCCCTCTGGTCTTTTGGGTTTCCCCCAGTAAACTCTTTCCCTTAAAAAAAAAAGTGTAAATATAGGCTAATTTTGGTAATCACAAAGGGTTGCCACGTTTGGCTCTCTCACCACCAGAATAACTCAGAGCCTACGGCTCTTACCTCCTCCCATGTAGCGCACACTGCCAAACTGATGAGCAAAAATCGTAGTTCTACTTTGCATTTCTTATTAAAACTGAAGCCAATCTTTTCAAATGTTTAAGGTCTGTAATTAGTTTCCAGGGAACTCATTGCCCAGTCCTTGTCTACTTCGCTAGTAGGTTGCTGTCAATAAATATTTTATGTTCGTATTTGGAAAAAATACTGTGAAAAAAGATGCCAAAACTCCTGCAATAAAACGAACACCCAAGCCTGCCCTCCAGGAGTCTGGAATCCAAGGAAAGATCTAAGATTCTGACTTCACGCGCGTTCGGACGCCACAGCGCATGCTCCGAAAAGCCTCGTCCGAACCTCGCGTCTGTAAGCGGCTCACTTGATTTCTTCGGAAACAACTGCGTACGCATGCGCCAAAGAGCTCGCGCCTCGGCGGATTCCTCATGGAAATCTGCTGCGCATGCTCGTTAGCCTGCGCTCCTAGGAGACGCCACAGAAGGTGGGTGCAGCTGCGCCCCCTGCTGTCGGAAAATGTCCTGAAGCACTAGTTTTGAAATGGAGGAATTCTGGTGAAAAACAAGGCATCTTCCTGAGGCCCTCAACTCACAAAATCCACCGCATTACGCCAGTGGGTATTTATCAGCTGGCCTTCAACAAAGGTGTCTAAAGCGAGCTTTTTAAATTAATGTTTGACATTGAGTTGGAAGCTGATTTTAAAGGACCTTCAGGCAGGAAAGCTGCCACCTGCAGCGCCTGCATCCCATATAGGCTCCGGTTCTAGTCCTGGCTGCTCCTCTTCTGATCCAGCTCTCTGCTGTGTCTGGGAAAGCAGTAGAAGATGGCCCAAGTCCTTGGGCCCCTGCACGCATGTGGGAGACCAGAAGAAGCTCCTGGCTCCTGGGATAGGATGCGCCCAGCTCTGGCTGTTACGGCCATTTGGGGAGTGAACTAGCATATGGAGGACCTCTCTCTCTCTCTCTCTCTCTGCGCCTCTCCTTCTCTCTCTGTAACTCTTTCAAATAAATAAATAAATCTTAAAAAAACCCACACTGAATTAGATAAGAAATTAAAAAAAAAAAAAGACCTTCAAGAGTGTCGACAGATTAATAGTTAGCTCTATTTTTAAAAGCTCCATGGGCCACACTTCAGAGAAAGCCAGACAGAAAAGCTTGAGAAAACCACCTGCCATTCGCAAAGAGAAACATGCCCTGACTTTCCCCATTTGGTTGATGCCATAAATAATTAAATCTTGGGACTGGCACTGTTGCACAGCCAGTTAAGCCACTGTCTGCAGTGCCGGCAACCCACATGGGCGCCAGTTCGAATCCTGGCTGCTCCACTTCCGATCCAGCTCCCTGGAAAATCAACAGAGGATGGCCCAAGTGGGAGACCCATGTGGAAGTCCTGGAAGAAGCTCCTGGCTTCCGCCTGGAGCAGCCCTGGCTGTTGGCGGCCATTTGAGGAATGAACCAGCCGATGAATGATTCTCCCTCCCCCTCCCCTTCTGTAACTCTGCCTTTTAAATAACTACAATCTTAAGAGAAAAAAAAAAAGAAATTTTACAGGGGAGGGCATGGAGGCCCAGTGGGTTATATCCCATATCAGAGTACCTGGTGCAGTCCTGGCTACTCTGCTTCTGATCCAGCTCCCTGTTAATGTGTCTTGGAGGCAGCAGGTGCCACCTGCACAGGAGACCAGGATGGAGTTCCTGGCTCCTGGTGTTGTCCTGGCCCAGCCCTGACTATGGACATTTGGGAAGTGAATTAGCAGGTGGAAGAGATTCATTCATAGTCATTCTCTCTCTCTCTCCCTCCCTCTTTCCCCCACCACTTTTCAAATAGATGAAAGAAAACATTTTTTTAAAGGCTTACAGAAACCCATCACTGAAAAGGATACAGTCATGTTTCTGCACTGAAAAAATGTTTTTCATCTGAAAGCCTGAGGGAGAGGGAGAGCTACACAAATGGAGAGAGATCTCCCATCTGCTGGTTCATTCCCCAAATACCTACAACCACTAGGCCCTGGGCCAGGCCAAAGTCAGGAGCCCAAACTCCACCTCACAGGTGACTGGCAGGGATCCAGGTGCTTCAGTCATCAATTGATTCCTTGAAGGGTTTATTTCTGCATTTTGTGATTTTTTTTTTAAGATTTATTTATCTGAAAGGCAGAGTTACAGAGAGGTCTTCCATCCACTGGTTCCACTCCCCAGATGGCTGCAATAGATGGAGCTGGGCCAATCCAAAGTCAAGAGCCAGGAGCCAGAAGCTTCTTCCGGGTCTCCCATGCAGGTGCAGGGGCCCAAGCACTTGGGCCATCTTCCACTGCTTTCCCAGGCCATTAGCAGAGAGCTGGATCAAAAGTGGAGCAGGCCGGCACCGCTGCTCACTAGGCTAATCCTCCGCCTGTGGCACTGGCACCCCAGGTTCTAGCCCTGGTCGGGGCGCCGGATTCTGTCCCAGTTGTCCCTCTTCTAGGCCAGCTCTCTGCTGTGGCATGGGAAGGCAGTGGAGGATGGCCCAAGTCCTTGGGCCCTGCACCCGCATGGGAGACCAGGAGAAGCACCTGGCTCCTGCCTTCGGATTGGCAAGCAGGCCATAGCAGCCATTTGGGGGGTGAACCAACGGAAGCAAGACCTTTCTCTCTCTCACTGTCCACTCTGCCTGTCAAAAAATATATATTAAAAATATATTTATATATTAATATAATATATTATATTATTAATTAATATAGTTATTAATTAGTATAATATAATATAATATATATTTTTAAAAAGTGGAGCAGCCCAGACATGAACCGGTGCTCCTAAGGGATGCCAGAACTGCAGGCAGAGGCTTTGCCTGCTATGCTATATAAATAAATCTTAAAAAAAAAGCTCTAGTGGAATTTCAGAAGATGGACCAGCAGTGTCTGCTTAAATGCAACCTGAACAACTGTTACCTCTTGGAGTCAGCTGGAACAGGAGACTTGACCCCTAAACTGATATACCCTGAGTCTTGATCTTTTATTAACATTATTAATATCAACATGCGGTCAGATTTCAGCATCAACAGTTCTTCCCCCCCCCCCCCACCACTAAAAACCAGAATGCATTTAGCTTAGCAGTGAAGACACCATGACCCACACAGGTTCAACAGCTGGCTCCAGCTGCTCATGCCAGTCTCCTGCTGATGCGCACTCTGGGAGGCAGAGATAATGGCTCAGGTAATTGGGTTTCTGCCACCCAGCCCCAACCACTGCAGGGATTTAGAGAGTAATCCGGCAGATGGGAGCTCTTGCTTCTTTCTCTCTCTTTTTTTCTCTCTCTCTGTTACCCACTCGAATAATTTAAAATAGACATATGTATAAAATTCATATATAATAATAAAGAATATTTTAACCTAAAATATTATAAGGAAACAGGTTAAAGCAAAAGGTTGTTAAAATTTTTATTTATTATTTATTTGAAAGTCAGAGGGAGAGGCAGAGAGACAGAGAGAGGTCTTCCATCTGCTGGTTTACTCCCCAAATGGCTGCAATGGCTGGAGCTGGGCTGATCTGAAGCCAGGAGCCAGGAGCTTCTTCCATGTCTCCCACGCAGGTGCAGGGGCCCAAGCACTTAGGCCATCTTCTATTGCTTTCCCAGGCCATAGCAGAGAGCTGGATCGGAAGAGGAGCAGCTGGGACTTGAACCAGTGCCCATATGGGATGCCAGCATGGCATGCAGCAGCTTTACCTGCTATACCACAGTGCCGGCCTCAAAACAAAAGTTTTTTAAAACAACAATATACTACAAATACCCTTACTCTCCAGTGCTGAGTTTCAGTTTCTGCATTTAGGTAAAGAATCTAAAGAGATCTTGTATTCAAATCTACTTGTTACTGAGTTCCAACTAGACTATAGCAGGAGTTTGAATAGCAAATCTGAAAATCTGAATTTCTTTGGGTCTTTTTTTTTTCTTTTCTTTTTTTTTTAACTTTTATTTAATATAAATTTCCAAAGTACAGCTTATGGATTACAATGGTTTCCCCCCCATAATGTCCCTCCCACCTGCAACCCTCCCCTTTCCCACTCCCTCTCCCCTTCCATTCACATCAAGATTCATTTTCGATTCTCTTTATCTACAGAAGATCAGTTTAGCATACATTAAGTAAAGATTTCAACAGTTTGCTCCCACACAGAAACATAAAGTGAAAAATAATAGATGATTTTTTAAATGATGATGAAATCAGATCAGACCTATTGTCATGTTTAATCCCAGTGAGAGTCAAGTTGGGAATTGATAATTTCTTTTTTATTTTACAGAAGATCAGTTTAGTATACATTAAGTAAAGATTTCAACAGTTTGCACCCCCATAGAAACACCAAGTGAAAAATACTGTTTGAGTACTCGTTATAGCATTAAATCTCAATGTACAGCACATTAAGGACAGAGATCCTACATGAGGAGTAAGTGCACAGTGACTCCTGTTGTTGACTTTACAAATTGACACTCCTGTCTATGGCATCAGTAATCTCCCTATGCTCTAGTCATGAGTTTCCAAGGCTATGGAAGCCTTTTGAGTTCTCTGACTCTTATCTTGTTTAGACAAGGTCATAGTCAAAGTGGAGGTTCTCTTGGGTCTTGAGTTTGGACAGCAAGGGATGCCTTGAATATTCTTCTCCGTGTACTTACTTATGCACAATGTTATTGTAAATACTCACATGTATCATCTACCAGAGACAGGTGCATTATCCTGTTCTTTCCTCTTCTGTCATCCCCCTAAGCAACTTGAGTCCTGAAAGGTTATACCTATTCACTTGGATCTATTTCTCTCCATCACTGTGACTTATTGCAGCAGCCTCCTGGGGCTAGGGAGAGGCCAGCTTTCCTTAAAAGCACTTGACCACTTAATACCTGAACAGAACTGCAGTTACATTAGCAAAGAAAGAAGAGAATGATTGCTGGACAACAATCAACAATGTTTGCACACAGTGCTTCTTGAAATATAACTGAACCCATATTTAAAGATTTCTTTAAGTGTCTCCATTTTCAAGCGTAGGTGAAAGTTAAAAGAATGTGTTTTTTCTATATTGTGTTTATATATTTATATATACAGTAGGTTTATAAATCTACTTAAAAATTGGTATTTTGTTTTTCTAAATTCAACTATAACCAATTCAAAACACCACTCACAGTCCCTGGCCTCTCTGATTCACATAGACCGTCAGTGCTGGCTTCCTGTAACATGCATTTCATTCCGTCTGGTCTTCAGTCTTCCCAGACTCAGCACTCACAGAGATGTATTCACATCTTCAGCTGATGGCCAGCTGGGTGGTCCAGTGAAGGCCCAAGGTCTAGTTCGAAGGGAGTGGGTAAGAAGGGTGATAGATGAGCAAGGACATTCCATTCCCCCCATGAATTCGGATGAAAACTGGTAATAAAGTCAGGTGTACCTCCAAGAGGAGACACTGGAGAAGAACCAAGCTGGCTCTAAAAGGAACGGTGCTTGAATGGATGGCACACGGCTTTATGCTGGATCCGCGTCACTGTCTCCCTAATCACATCAACTTGAAATGCCACCAATGTCTGGACAGCTGGACCTGTTTGATCACGGCTGTGACTAGTGGGTTGTTTCCGTAATAAATATGTAAGGCCTTTTGAAAAAAAAAAGTAGAAAAGTGATTTTTGCAGGCTGATGCAGATCAGTGGCAAGTATGTCCACAGGTTATCAACTAAGTCTTCATGGAATGTTTCACTCACTGAAATTCCTTTTTCAGCTGTCTGTGGCTGCCCCTCCCCCTCCATTCAATGGACGGAGCGTTTGGAGGGCTCCTCTCAAGCTAGAAATCTGTTTCTTGGTTCTAGAATTTTCCTTGAATTATTTCACTGATGACATCTTCCCTTCTGATCTTCTGAAACTCCTGTTAGTTGGATGTTCAACATCCTGAGTTGAACCTCCATGTGAATAACCAAAGATCCCTGCCAACATTTTTCTTTTACATTTTCAGTTATTTCCTCAATTTTGCCCATTATTGCATTTTCTCAGTAAGCAAAAGGGCTTTTTCCTATTCTTTTTTAAAAAATGTCATCTTGTACTTATTTTATGAATACAAATCTTGAATTTTTCTGAGAATACATTTTTTAAAGATTTACTTATTTATTTGAAAGGCAGGGCTGAAGAGAAAGAGAGAGAGAGAAACAAAGATCTCCCATCCACTGGTTCACTTCCCAAATGGCCTCAGTGGCCAGAACTGGGCCGATCTGAAGCCAGGAGGCAGGACTTTCTTCTGGGTCTTCCATGTGGGTGCAGGGGCCCATGGACTTGGGCCATCTTTTGCTGCTTTCCCAGGCTCACTGGGAAGGAGCTGGATTGGAAGTGGAGCAGCTAGGACTCCCACTGGCACCCATATGGGACAACCAGTACTGCAGGCAGCAGTTTAACCTTCTACCCCACAGTGCCAGCCCTTAAGGGCCCTTCTTAAAACTATCTTTTGTTTTCTTTCGTTACTTGATTTTTTTTTCCTTTTGGATCATTTTTTTGTTCATCTTGTTTATATCTCTGTCATGCTATTTCTTTCTCATATTCCCTGGTTATTTGTCATATTTAAGAGTGAGGCCTGGGGGCTGGTGCTGTGGCATGTCAAGTAAAGCCCCCACCTGCAGTGCCAGCATCCCATATAGGTACCAGTGTAAGTCCTGGCTGCTCCATTTCTGATCCAGCTCCCTGCTAATGCACCTGGGAAGGCAGAGGAAGATGGCCTAAGTGCTTGGGACCCTGCCACCCATGTGGGAGACCCACTGGCTTCAGCCTGGCCCAGCTTGGGCTGTTGTGGCCATCTGGGGAGTGGACCAAGGGATGGAAGTTTGCTCTCTATCTTTCCCTCCCCCTCTCTGTAACTCTACCTTTCAAATAAATAAATACATCTTTAAAAAAAAAAAGAAAGAAAGAAAAAGACAAGAAAGGACTATCTGGACAAAAGCAAGCCTGACCAGGAGCAGGGGAAGTATTCAATCCTAAAGTTCCACGCTCAGCATCCTGGCTCCACTGTGTCGGGGCAGTCTTGCCCCTGTGGCTCTCATGGGCACAGGCCATTCTTTAGTCCCACAGCTGGCATCTCAACTCTGCAGGTCCACTGGGCGCTGTCCTGGCGGGGACACTCTGCAGCAGCTCAAACCCCACATTTCTGCTTGGCGTTGCCCTAGGGGGTGCTTTCTGCCATGCTCCACCCCTGCAACAGGTCTCTCCACAGGCCCCCAGGATGCCTGAAACAGTCTTTGAAAGCTAGGTGGAGGCCTCCACACCTCCATGGCTTCCCTGGTCTCTGGTCACATGGCTGCTCTCTGAGGCTGCACGCTGCTGTCTGCGGCTTCCAACGCCTTCCCAACGCACTGCTTGCAGCTCTCCATGATGGTGTCTCATGTCGTTTGCGCCTCTAGCTTTCTGCAGTCTCTGCCATGGTCTCACTTCCACAGCATCACTAGCAATCATGCTATCAGGGGCTCTCAGCCTGTAGCACACCCCTCCCACCTGACCTCCTAGGCTTTCTTTGGAATCTGTGAAAGCTTCTACAACCCCATAACTCTTTCATTCAGCATGCCTACAAAACCAGCACCATGCCGAGGTCTGCTGCCAGGACCAGCTGCACCCGGGCCCACCTGAATGCTCAAGTCCCAGAATGCCTTGCCAGCTGGACACAGGGAAATGCCAAGGAGGTCTGGGCCAACTATGAAAAGAACTGTGGGCTTCCATGGAAATATGTTGTTCTAGGCCTCCGGGCCTGTGGTGGGAGGAGCAGTCTCAAAGCTCTCTGAAATGCCTTTACAAGTCTGCTCTTGTTGTCAGCATACAGCTTCCTTTTACCTGTGCTACTCTTTTTTTTTTTTTTTAAGATTTTATTTATTTATTTGAGAGGTAGAGTAACAGACAGTGAAAGGGAGAGACAGAGAGAGAGAGAGAGAGGTCTTCCTTCCGTTGGTTCACTTCCCAGATGGTCGCGACAGCGGGAGCTGTGCCAATCCGAAGCCAGGAGCCAGGTGCTTCTTCTGGGTCTCCCATGCGGGTGCAGGGGCCCAAGCTCTTGGGCCATCTTCTGCTTTCCCAGGCCACAGTAGAGAGCTGGATTGGAAGAGGAGCAGCCAGGACTAGAACCGGAGCCCATATGGGATGCCAGCGCCACAGGCGGAGGATTAGCCTACTGCGCCATGGCACCAGCCCCTACCTGTGCTACTCTTGAGCAAGTAGCTTTTCCACCTCACTTTCCTGTCTCAAACAAGCTTTTCCTTTCTTCCTTCCTTTGGCCAGATTTAAAAAAAATCTTTTACAGATTTAAAAAATCTTTCTCTGCTCCCTTTTCCTCCTTATTCTCAAGGTTAAGCTCACTAAGGGGTGGTACAGTGGGTTAAGGTGCTGCTTGGGACACCTGCATCCCATATCTGAGTGCCAGTTCAAGTCCTGGCTACTTCGCTTCCAATCCATAGTTACCCATTCCTCTTTGACCCCCGTGGGAAGAAGGACTATAATCTACTCATTCAGCAAAGATTCTGAATACACTTTTTTTTTTTTTTAAATTTTTGACAAGCAGAGTGGACAGTGTGAGAGAGAGACAGAGAGAAAGGTCTTCCTTTTCCATTGGTTCACCCTCAATGGCTGTTGCAGCCGGCACACCGTGCTGATCCAAAGCCAGGAACCAGGTGCTTCCTCCTGGTCTCCCATGCGGGTGCAGGGCCCAAGCACTTGGGCCATCCTCCACTGCCCTCCCGGGCCACAACAGAGAGCTGGACTGGAAGAAGGGCAACCGGGACTAGAACTCAGGGTGCCGGTGCCGCAGGCAGAGGATTAGCCATGGTGCCGGCCAATATAATACACTATTAACTGTAGTCCTCATGTTATACTTGAGGTCTTCTGACTTGCTCATCCTATAGCCTTTCTTAAGAAATTCTTTTTATACAGTTATTTACAGTTACAAATTTCTCTGTAGGCACTGCTTTCGCCTATTCCACACATTTTGGTATGTCTTCATTTTTCACTCATTTCAAAATCTTTTCTAATTTCTCTTGTGATTTCTTTCATGTCCCATGATAGGCTCTGTGTCAAGTTCTATATATCTGTATTTCCAAAATTTTCTTATTTCTAACTTCATTGTGGGTGGAGAACTGCATTATTTCCAACCTGTAGTTTACTAAGGCTTATTTTATGACTTAGCATATGTTCTATCCTGAAGGATGGGTACTCTGCTTTGTTGAGTGTTCTATAGGTATATTAGGTCTAATTGCTTTTCAGTGTTGTTAAAGTAACCTTTGTCTACATTTTGCCATACTGGTCTATCCATTCCTGAAACTTTAGTATCAAAGCCTGTAGCCACTATTGATATGTTTTTCTCCTTTCATCCCATACAGTTTATACTTCATGAATATTGGTGCCTTGTTGTTAGGGTCACACATAATTGTTCTATCTTCCTCATGGATTGACTTTTATCTTTATAAAATGTTGCTCTTTTTTAAAAATTTATTTATTCATTCAAAAGGCAGAGTTACAGAGAAAAGGAAAAACAGAAAGAGAAAAGTCTTCCATCTGCAGTTTACTCCCCAGATGGCTGCAACGGCCAGAGCTGTGCTGATCCCAAGCCAGGAGCCAGGAGCTTCTTCCAGGACTTTCATGTGGGTGCAGGGGCCCAAGAACTTGGACCATCTTCCACTACTTTTCTAGGCAAAATTAGCAGGGAGCTGGATCAGAAGAGGTACAGCTGGGACTTGAACCAGTGTCCATATAGGATGCCAGAGCTGCAGATGGCAGCTTAAACAACAGCACTAGCCCCTAAAATACTTCTCTTTAGTACATTTTTGGTTTGTTTTGCAGCCTACTTTGGTATTAGAATAGTCACTTCAGATTTCTAATGGTGGCTGTTTATAAGATAAATTTTTCCCATCTTTTAATTCATTTGTATCTCTGAATCTAAAGTGTGTTTCTATATACTGCATAAAGTTGAGATCTTGTATTCTTTTAAATTTTTTTTTCAGGAAGATACGAATAAACAGGGTGGGCAGGGACCGGGAGACAGAGACACACCTTCAGATAAAACTCCCATCTGCTGGTTTAACCCCCCAAATGCCCACAATGGCCAGTGCCGGACTGGGGCCAGAACCAGGCGCTGGGAACACACAATCCAGGTCTCCTATATGCGTGGCAGGAACCCAGCTACTTGAGCCATCCGTGTTGCCTTCCAGGGTCTGCATTGGTGAGAAGCTGGAATCAGGATCTGAAGCTGAGAACTGAACCCAATTATTCTGATGTAGAATTTCTGACATCCTAAGCACTAGGCTAAATGTGTTCTCCTGAATATTTTTAAAAGATTTATTTATTTATTTGAAAGACAGTGTTACACACAGAGAAGAGAGGCAGAGAGAGAGAGGTCTTCCATCTGCTGGTTCACTCCCCAGATGGCCACAACGGCCAGAGCTGCACCGATCTGAAGCCAGGAGCCAGGAGCTTCTTCTGGGTCTCCCATGCAGGTGCAGAGGCCCAAGGACTTGGGCCATCGTCTACTGCTTTCCCAGGCCATAGCAGAGAGCTGGATTGGAAGTGGAGCAGCCAGGACTCGAACTGGTGCCCATATGGGATGCCGGCACTGCAGGTGACAGATTTACCTGTTATGCCATAGCACCCACCCCCTGAATACAGAATTCTTAGCTGACAATTTTCTTTAAGCACTTTGAATGCTATTCCACTGTTTTCTTGTCCTCCTCCTAATGAGAAGTTAACCATTGATTGTACTGGAATTCTGTTTCCATGGATACACTGTCTCATTACACCTTTCTCTTGCTCTTTCAAAGATTTTCCTTGTCTTTGATTTCAGCATTTTTATTACAATATGTGTGTTTATGGATCTCTTTGCATTTATCCTCTTGGAGTTAATTGAGCTTCTTGTCCAATTCAGTGGCATCCACATTGTCGTGCAACCATCACCACCATCCAACTTGCATTGCCTTTTTTTTTTTTTTTTAAGATTTATTTATTTCAAAAGCAGAGTTACGGAGAGGCAGAGGTAGAGAGATAGAGAGAGAGAGAGGTCTTCCATCCTCTGGTTCACTCCCCAAATGGCTGAAATGGCCAGAGTTGGGTGGATCCAAAACCAGGAGCTTCTTCCAGGTCTCCCATGTGGGTGCAGGGGCCCAAGGACTTGGGCCATCTTCTGCTATCCTGGGCCATAGCAGAGAGCTGGACAGGAAGTGGAGCAGCCGGGTCTCGAACTGGCGCCCATATGGGATGCTGGTGCTTCAGGCCAGGGCGTTAACCTGCTGCGCCACAGCGCCAGCCCCCCGGCTGCTCCTCTTCTGATCCAGCTCTCTGCTATGGCCTGGGAAAGCAGAAGAAGATGGCCCATGTCCTTGGGCCCCTGCACCTGTGTTGGAGACCCAGAGGAGGCTCCTGGCTCCTGATCGGCACAGCTCCAGCTGTTGCAGCCATCTGGGGAGTGAACCAGCGGATGGAAGATCTCTCTCTGTTTCTACCTTTCTCTGTAACTCTTTCAAATAAAAAAAAATCTTTTTAAAAAAATAAATAGGCCAGCGCCGCAGCTCACTAGGCTAATCCTCCGCCTTGCGGCGCCGGCACCCCGGGTTCTAGTCCCGGTCGGGGAGCCGGATTCTGTCCCGGTTGCCCCTCTTCCAGGCCAGCCCTCTGCTGTGGCCAGGGAGTGCTGTGGAGGATGGCCCAAGTGCTTGGGCCCTGCACCCGCTTGGGAGACCAGGAGAAGCACCTGGCTTCTGCCTTCAGATCAGCGCGGTGCGCTGGCCATTGGAGGGTGAACCAATGGAAAAGGAAGACCTTTCTCTCTGTCTCTCTCTCACTGTCCACTCTGCCTGTCAAAAAAAAAAAAAAAATAATAAATAAATAAAATAAAGGGTGGTCATGAGGCCAGTTTATTTTTCTATTCAACCCAAATTTCAGCAGAACTCACCTGTTTCACACTCACCGGACTTACCTGGCACATCTTCCTACAGTGCGAGACAGACTGGGGGTGACAAGGCTGACAGCTGTCAAGGCTCTAAGAAGTGATTAAAGTGATTCTAGGCTGAGGACGGTCCTGATCTTGGTGATAGCACCCACAAGTATGACCTTGCAGAGCCATGTTTCCTGGTGCTCTAATTGCTGTTCTAGGGGTGGGGGACACAGTGTGGTCAAGAAGACCAGGCCTCTGCTCTTGCGGAGCTCATGTTCTAGCGTGGGAAACAAACTGCAAACCAACAAAGGGAGAAAGGGAAATGTCAGAGTAAGAAAGTCAGCTGTGGGCAGAAATAAACTATGGCGATGTGATAAGAATGACTGGCGTAGCTATTTTATACTGGGCATACAGGAACAGCCTCTGGTGAGGAAGAGGCATCCAAACTAAACTGAATTAGAACAATCTTTGAGAGAGGGAGATAGCCAGTGTGAAGGAACTGCCAGGCAGGAATTAGCTTACTAGAGAAATGTGTAGGCCGTGGCTGGAATACAGTAAGCAAGAGGCAGCTAGGTGTGGGATTTTGAAAACCCATTACAGGGACTGGATTTTTTTTTTCTGGGATGCTATTTTTTTTTTTTTTTTATGGGATGCTATTAGTGTGATTTACTTTTTAAAAGCATGACAGTTGCTTAGTGCCTAACAAATTAGAGGGTAGAGTGAAAGTTGGAAAATTACTTAGGAGGCTTTTGTAGCATTATGTAAAATATGTTAGTACCAGGAGTGGGGACAGTAGTGACAGAGAAGTGAATGATGACGAGTAGGTATGGGACTTGCTGATGAACTGGAGGTAGGAAGTAAAGGAAAGAGAGGAATAGAAATATTTTCTAGATATTTGCATTGTACATTTGGTGGGCAGTAATACCATTTACTGAACTGGGGAATAACAGGCTTGAATAAGCTGGGATTGAGGGGAGATGGGAAGATATTTTTCAAGTTCTATTTTGATCATGGTAAGTTAGAGATACCTAGGGTATTCCAAGTACAAATGTCAAGCAGGTAGTTGAACAAACAGGTCTGGGATGCAGGAAATAAGCGGGGGCCACTTGCTTTGAGTCTGAAGGAGCTGCCAGTATGCTGAGAGGCACTCTACAGAGAACGTTTCAGACAATTCAAGGAAAAATTGTTTCATGAAGGTGTTAGAGTGTGCTGACAGGCCCAGCTTCTAATCCCCCTGTGTGGCTTACTTCACCTTTCCAAATTTTCTTCTCTCCCTACGAGAATTATATAGGGGCAGGTGTCTGCCTCAGTGGTTAAGGGGCTGCTTAGGACACTTACATCCCTTATCAGAGTACCTGGTTCAAGTCCTGGCTCCGCTTCCAATTCAGCTTCCTGCTAGTGGGTACACTTGGAGGCAGCAGGTGATGGCTTGAGTGGTAGAGTCCCTGTCACCCTTGTGGGTGACCCTGACTGAGTCCTGGCTTCTGGCTTCAGCCTGGCCTAGCCCCATCTGTTGCAGGCACTTGGGGAGTGACAGCAGATGGGAGATCTCTGTCTCTATCTTTCTGCTTTTCAAGTAAAGTGAAAATAAAGTTAAGATAAAATAAGAATAATTGGTAGCTTTGGGATCTGCATAGAAGGAAGGCCTATACTTCCGGGAATGGAGAAGTCTCTACCTGTACTTCCTGGGAAGAAAAGTCCTTGTCAAGGTCCCTACGGGTGTCTAAAGGTCAACCAATGAGGATCAGACCCGCCTCAACCTTTAACCCCCATGCCCTGAATCTGTAAATGGAGCCCTCCCAATCTCTGACACGCAATTTCCCTGGCCCCCCACTCTGTTGGGACCGGGGAACCTCGCCTGGGAGCGGAATCCCAATAAAAGCCTGTGAATTAATTGATTCGTCTGCCTGGGAAGATTTGTTATGCGCCGGACACCTTGCAATAATAACCCAATTCTGGATTTTTACTATGAGGCCACAAGACATAAAACACATTCAAAGAAATAGCACCATCCTCAGCATAAACTAAGTATTCAACAAATAGCAACTATTTGAACTATAACTACCTCTGGTTTGATAACAGCTGCTTTTATCACAGAAAAATAGTAAGAGCCAAGATACTTACAATTTCTCAAATTTGGAAGGAGAGCTGCTAGAAAACTGTGCCATATGCACTGTCCTTCACAAAGCCTGTGTGTAAAGGCCATGGGTCACTACCACATTTCAGCAAATAGCATTTTCCTGTCTTGCTCTTTCTACAAATGCCACTTCTTCTGTCTAAATAAGGCAAGACACTTAATGATTTTTAAAAAAGTCTCAGATGATGCCATAGAAACCACCAAAATATTAGGTGCCTCCTATCTAAACACAGACACACAGAGTTAAGGAAAAAGGCTATTCAATACTTGTTAAGGCATGGCAAGGATGACTTTATGTAGGACCACTGTGCTAGGAATAGGGCCCACTGCAAATGGGGTCTTGAGTGGCAGAAAGATTGTGCTCAGGTCTGAATACACACAGGCAAGAGGGAATTTATAGCCACAGAACAGGGTGGGCAATAGTGGATGGAAAATTACTAAGAGGAAACATCAGGGGTGGAGGATTCTGGCTAAACTGACCTAACAGTATGCCTGCTGAAGACAGGCCAAGGGCAATCAGCTACCACCCGGCAAATAGTGGAGGATGAACTTGACCAAGTATCAAAAATGGAGTGGGGTTCTTGTTCAACTGATTTAGTAGGGTTCTTTGCTAACTGGGTTTTATAAGGAAGTGCACAAATGGGAAAAAGAGAAGGTTCAGAAGCTAACTAAAAGTTGGCAAGCAAAGAATCTTTGTCAACACACACACACTAGTTGTAGCAACACACGTTTCAGAAAAAGTGATGTCAAATTCTCATCTTAGAAGAATTTTAAGGTAAAATCAACTCAATCCCTCTAACATGAGGGCATGAATATTAATCCTGTTATTTTCTTTCGCTGTTACTGGGTCAGCTTTAAATGAGAGTGCAAGAAGCAGCCTACTAGAACTGGACTGGCCAGGTACCCCAGGGCCTTTGTCCTGCAGGTGTGAAGTAGTGACTCAATGGACAGATAAAGGCTGACAGAGGAAATAATCCCAAACACAGCACAAAAGTGGCATTTTGGGGTTTGTATGTTAAAATTTGTCTTTAGTAGATGAGCATGACAGAGCTTCGGCCTCAGCTTCTATGGCAATTAGTGCAGTTCCAACGCCCAGCTGAGCACTCTGAGGAAGGAGAGCAAGGTGCAGTGTGCATCAGCTCTGTTATATGATTACTTTTATTCTGCTGCGTTTTACCTGAAACGTCCTGCTGAATTTTTACCAGAACAGCCTAATGAAACAATCCTAGAAGTTTCATCTTGTAATGCAGCCACTTTTCCATCAAAACTTGCAGAATCGAGAGCCAACCCAGACCTCTTCTGAGAAGATGGAATGATTCTGTTCAAGGACGTTTCCAACAATTTTGTCAGTAACATTTATTTCAATTAAAGAAATGTGAATTCAGAATGAATGTAAGGTAAAACCTCAAAGTATTTAGCAAAATAAATGCTATAAAGAGTTTGCAAGAAATATATGTGATACCTGTGCAATGTGTTGCAGACAGACAGAAATAAAAATAAAAAGCACATTCTGAAAAGAATCAGAATTTGATAAGTTCTAGTTTGTAAAACTCCATTCAGTGGTACAGCATCCCCCAGGGTGAGGCAATTTGCCTTTTTATCAATAGTTATAAATCAAAAGAGCATATTTTCCTCTTCTAGTTGTGACCATCCCAGCACTGTTTACATGTACAGACCTGAATTCTTAGAGAAACAGTGAACTAAAACAACACGTGGCACTTTACAGGGCTTACATAAAATATACTATAAAACATTTTCTTTTGAAAATAAAAACAGTATAATCTATTTCCAAAGCATCAAACAGCTGAAGCAAACATAAACTGGAACAAAACTTCCAAACAGAAGCTCAAAAACCTTGGCAAAGCCATACATGTAACATTCAGCTTCATTTATCAACTAAAATACTCACTGAAAGTAATGATTTCTGTACATGTAAACTGAGTGTAACATTTCAATGTTGTAACAGAAATTGCTACACATTATCAAAGCATGTTCTTTGGATCATTTTAAGAAATTTCAATTATGATGTAAATGAAAATTTAAAAATAGAAACAGTGCATCTTAAGGTTTTTCAGACCTACACAAGTAAATTCCAAACATGTAATTTATTATATGCTTATGATTTGGAAAAAAATTTTCCCTGAGCACTCTTTCTGCCTGGTTAGAAAAATTAAAACATGCTCTAGAAAATAGAATTTCATTTTTATTCTTCTCAAATATATGGAATTTTTTTACCCATTTAATGTATTGGGGAATTTTTTTTAGACATCTCTAAAGTAACTAGCAATCATACTGCTTAAAGGGCTATTTGAATGGCTATAGAAATACTGTTGGGTCTTAAGAGCCCTGAGAACTGTATGGTGAGTGGCTCATATGACTGAAATGATTTACTTGAAACTATCAACAGTTACTTTAACAAATTCAGAATGGCACTAATCACAGAAGAAAGATAATAATCCAGCTCAGATGATCAATATAAATGTTAAAAACCAAAAGAATAAAAATTGAACTAATATTGTAAAATTAACTCTTTTGTCCAACATAGTACTGAAATACCTAATCCTTGAAACTTTAATGCAGTTTTAAGATCTATCACTCCTTAATATTCATGCAAACTCAGCATCCTTGGATATTTCATCCTACAAAGTGCAGGTCTCAAAGCTATCCCAAGACTGACAGCCCCAAAGACACACTACCACCAGTGCACACACTATCAGCTGTGTTCCTTAATTTATAAAGGTTTCACAAACACTTAGTTTAGGCCTCTTCTCCCGGAAATAAATAAAGGATAACAAATGTTAGGAGTCTTAACTATGTAAATTTATAAATAGTTGTTTCCTATATAGTCTAGAATCATACTAAAAGAAAATCAAATTTAAGAAGTATCATATTTACAATTCAATTTTCATAAAATTTAACTATTTCTCTTCGTATTATGATTTGCGTGACTTGTAAGAATAATTATTCATAAATAACTTAAAAACATTTAGAAGTCATTGTTCTGAAGATATTCAAGAGGGGAGCAGTGTCAGATGTCTAGGAATATGCCTTCTGTCATCTCAAGTGCTTTATGCTGGACGTCCTTGACCAAAACGGCTTCTGGACCTGGATTTTTTCAAACAGAAAAGAAGGTCAAAGTTGCTTCTAAAACAACAGGAAGTTGTTATGGCTTCAGATTGTGTTTACCTGGTATATTCAAAGTGCAATGGATCTTTATGTAGTTCAACATGCATTTTCTAAAACCTTTGGAGTAAGTTTTATTATTTTGGAATCTAGAGGTTTTTTTTTGAGAGACAATACTACAGTGTGTACGCTGTAGTTTCTCCAGTGAAACAAGTGAACATTTACATTAAATGGGATACACAAACATTACAGAAGGCATCACAGCAGCTCAATGCCACAAATTAATGAAAAAAAAAAAAAACAACACTTTTTGATGGCTGAAGTGTCTGGATTTCTGAATTACAGGTAAGGGATTAGGATCTGTTAATAATAATGCTCATGTCTCAATAACTGTTAATCTCTAAAAATTTTTTTTGTGATGTAAAGTGACACAGAGCCACCAGTTAAATTTTATTAAGAAAAATCATAAAGGCACAGACAGGAAAGACTTCAGTGATTTATATACAGCTATATTATATATTCTACAAATAGAACAAAAATTCTACTAATTTATAGTAGCATTAAAGCTTATATTTTTAAAATATTTATTTATTTGAGGGCGCCGGATTCTGTCCCGGTTGCCCCTCTTCCAGGCCAGCTCTCTGCTGTGGCCAGGGAGTGCAGTGGAGGATGGCCCAAGTCCTTGGGCCCTGCACCCCATGGGAGACCAGGATAAGTACCTGGCTCCTGCCATCGGATCAGCGTGGTGCGCCGGCCGTGCCGGCCACTGGAGGGTGAACCAACGGCAAAGGAAGACCTTTCTCTCTCTCTCTCTCTCACTGTCCACTCTGCCTGTCAAAAAATAAATAAATAAATAAATAAAAATTAAAATATTTATTTATTTGAGTGGCTGAGAGGCAGAGACAGGAAAGGGGAGATAGAGACAGAGAGAAGTTAGACAGAGAGACAGAAAACAGATATGCAGTTCCCATCTACTGGTCTATTGCCTAAATGCCCACAATAGCTGGGGCTGGGCAGCATAGAAGCCAGGAGCCAGGTTGTCCATGTGGGTGGTAGGAACCCAATTACCTGAGCCATCACTGCTACCACTGAGGGTCTGCATTAGCAGGAAGTAGGACTCAGGAGGTAGAGCCAAGAACTGAACCCAGGTATTCTGATGTAGGACATGGCCATCTTAACTGATAAGTTAAATGTCCACCCCTACAGCTTACATTTTCATCAGTAGCTGACTCAGAATGGAGACAGCTCAATAAGCAGTAAAAAAATATTTAAACCCTACACTTTCATTAAATTTTATGCGTATAACTTTTTTTTTTTTTAAATATGGAATGCTTCATGAATTTGCGTGTCATCCTTGTGCAGGGGCCATTCTAATCTGTATCATTCCAATTTTAGTATATGTGCTGCTGAAGCGAGCACTGCATGTAACTTTTTAAAATCTTAACTTTTAAGTTAAAATTTGTTTGTGATAAATGCACTGAATCAACATATAAAACCAAATTCAGGGAGGCCAGTGTCATCTTAAGCTGCTGCCTGAGATGCCAGCATCCCATATGAGCTCCAGTTCAGGACCTCGCTGCTCTACATTCAATCCAGCTCTTTGCTAATATGCCTGGGAAGGCGGTGGAAGATGGCCCTAGTGCTTGGGCCCTTGCCACCCACACAGGGGACCTGGACAGAGTTCCTGGCTCGTGGCTTTATAGCCTGGTTCAGACACCATTTTTGGAGTGAACCAGTGGATGGAAGACCTCTTTCTCTCCATCTCTCCTTCCCTCTCTCTCTGTAGCGCTGCCTTTCAAATAAATATATAAATCTTATTTAAAAAATCAAATTATGTGCTTCTAATGTTCATATAAATTACCCTAAAAAAATGAAAAATGTAACTACAAAGCCAGTGGTGTCCTGAATTTTATGCTGCTTTACCTTGTGCTTTTCTCTGAGCTGCTTTGCCGTGCACTGACTGGTACTGAGGCCTTGATTTGTGCTTCGAGCCTGGAATAAATACCTCCTGCAAACTGTAGAACAAAGAAGCAAAGTTACACTCACAGAACTGATAGAAGCAATAATTTATTTAATTACATATTTTTAAATTTAGAATTCTATTTTGATCTTTTAGACTCAGGCTTTAGCAGGATTTACAGATAGTAAAATTCATCATTTTAGTGTAGAGTTTTGGGTTTCGACAGATGCATACAGTTGTGTGACCACTGCCATAATGAAGACAAAGAACAGTTCTATTAACAAAAGAAAACCCCTTTATGCCCCTGTCAGTCAGTCCTTCCACTACTATCAATTCCTTGTAACCAATGAACTATTTCTAGTCTCTCTAATTTTGCAGTTAGAGCATTATATAAATGGAATCATACAGATGTAACCTTTTGATTTTTTTCTACTTAGCATAATGTTGAGGAGATTCATTCACGCTGCTGCAAGAATCAGGAGTTTGTTCTTTTTTATATGTATAGATTGTTTACCTATTTACCAGGTAAATGATATCATCTAGAGTGTTACTAGTTTTTGGTCATTATGAATAAAACCACTAGAAACATGTGAGAACTGACCTGTACGCCAAATGTGTACAAGAAACTGCCAGAGCAGCTATTTAGCCTGGTAGTTGAGATACCTGTCTCCCATAGGGGTATGCCTGGGTTCAGCTCCTGGTTCTAGCTCCTAACTCCAAATTCCTGCCAATGCAGACCCTCGGAGGCAGGGATGATGGCTCAAGTAATTGGGTCCCTGCCACCCATGTAGGGCACCTGGCTTGCATTTTCAGGTCCTGGCTCCAGCCCCAGCCCAGCCCTGGCCATTGTGTGCATTAAATACATAGTACATAGAAAAATAAACTGTCAAATTATTTTCCAAAGCAACTATTTTTTGCATTCCTAGTAGCTATATATGAGAATTCCACTTGCGCCACATCCTTACCAACTATTTAACACAGAGAGAGATCTTCCACCCGCTGGCTCACTCCTCAGATGGCTGCAATAGCTGCAGCTAGGGGTGTAGAAGCCAAGAGCCAGGAGCTTCTTCCCTGTCTCCCATGTGGGTGCAGGAGCCCAAGTCCTGGGGCCATTTCCTACTGCTTTCCCATGTGCATCAGCAGGGAGCTGGATTGGAAGTCGAGCAGCCAGGACCTCAAACTGGTATTCATATGGGACGCTAGTGTTGTAGGCAGAGGCTTAACTCACTGCCACAATGCCAGCCCTTTTCATGCATCTTTAAAAAATATTTATTCGAAAGGTAGAGTAACAGAGAGGGAGAGTGGGACAGGGAAGAGGTGAGGAAGAGAGACAAGAGGGAGAAAGATAGATACCTTCCATCTGCTGGTTATTTCCCAAATATCCCCAAAAGCTAAAGTTGGGCCAGTCAAAACCAGGAGCCAGGTACCCCACATGGATGGGGTCTCCAGGTATCCCACATGGATGGCAGAGGTCCAATTATTTTGGCCTTTATCTATTGCCTTCTAGGGGCATTGTCAGGATGCTGGATCAGAACAAGAGGAGCTAGGACTTGAACTGGCTCTCTGATATGGGATGTGAGTGTTCCAAGCAGTAGCTTAACCTGCTGTACCACAATACCCCACCCCAGTATTTTTTTAAGTTTATTTATTTATTTTTTAAAATATTTATTTATTTATTTGAAAGTCACAGTTACACAGAGATAGGAGAGGCGGGGGGAAGGGAGGGAGAGGGAGGGAGGGAGGGAGAGGGAGAGGGAGAGGGAGAGAGAGGTCTCCCATCTGCTGGTTCACTCCTTAATTGGCCGCAATGGGTGGAGCTGTGCTGATCCCAAGCCAGGAGCCAGGAGCTTCTTCTGGGTCTCCACATGGGTACAGGGACCCAAGGACTTGGGCCATCTTCTACTACTTTCCCAGGCCACAGCAGAGAGCTGGATTGGAAGCAGAGCAGCCGGGACTTGAACCAGCGCCCATATGGGATACTGGCACTGCAGGCGGTGGCTTTACCTGCTATGGCACAGTGCTGATGCCATTTTTTTTTTAACTTTAGACATTACAGTTATTATATTATGGTATCTTATTAAAGTTTAATTTATATTTCCCTAATGTTTTGTGCATATTTTGTCATCTAAATATTTTTTCATGGTATCTGGTTTATTTTTCCCCACATATTTTATTGGATTATTTATTATGGAGTATGGAAGAGTTCTTTACATATTACAGATACAAGTCTTTCTCAATAAGTATTTTATGCATATCTTCTCAGTTTATGGCATATCCATTCTCTTCATTCTCTTTGTAGTGATTCTCAAAAAGAACTTAAAAATTTTGATGAAGTTCAATTTGTCCATTTTTCCTCTAATGGATCATGGTTTTGGTGTTATAGATAAGAAATACTTGCCTAAATCAAGCTTACAAAGATTTTCTCCTGTTTTCTTTTAAAAGTGTTATAGGGTAATAACTGTTTAAATAACAGAATTAGGGCAAGAACTATGATGCATATATGATACCAATACAATGATAATACATTATGACTAACATGTAATTCTAGTAAGAATTTAGGTATTTCTAGCCTTTTTCAGCAGGGTAGCATTTTACCTTAGAGATGACTTCCAAGCACCACATGCAGTTGGTTAAAATCAGCATTTTCAGAAAGTCACCCTCTGGATATCCAGCATTTAGTCATCAAAGCAGAGTTAAACTAAGTTTGTGTGACCTCACACTATCTAATATGATATACTTTATTATGTGTTATAGAGGACCTATAGACATGGATAGTAAGAGGAGTTGGAGGGGATGGTGTTATGGCATGGCAGGTGAAGCCACTGCCTGGAATGCCAGCTTCCATGTGGGCACTGGTTCAAGTCCTGGCTGCTCCACTTCTGATCCAGCTCCCTGCTCATGCACCTGGGAAGGCAGCAGAGGATGGCCTGAATACTTGGGCTCCTACACCCACATGGAAGACCTGAAGGAAGCTCTTAGCTCCTGGCTTTGGCCTAGCCCTGCCCTAGCTGTCGTGGCCACTTGGGGAGTAAATCAGCAGATGGAAGATCTCTCTCTCTCCCTTCCCCATCCTATAACTCTGAATTCCAAATAAATAAAGTAAACCTTAAAAGAAAATTAGAGATGGTGGAAAACTTTTATGTAAATGAACTGGTTAACCCAAACATAATATGAAAATGAATAAATTACTCCTCTTAAATTCTGCTAAAATATCTTTATACTCTTCTTGTTGAGAATAAGAGCAGGAAAGCATATCTTACATAAGTGCAGTACACTATTACCTCTTTTGTTTCCTTCGACTTGACTCGGTCCAGATCACCCAACCTCATTTTTATTAAGTGCCCTGTAATTTCAGACATCCGTCGCTGATCTGAAGGCAAAAAATAATAAACTTTACTTTTTATTTATTTACTAGGAAGACTGTAATCATCAAGGGTTTTGGAAAATATCTTGATATTATTTTACAGACACATACATATACTTGCATCTGTGAATAATTTAAGGCAGCAAGTGACAAAATGACTCATATGTGGCTAACTGTGAGAAATCTTGATTGCTGTAAAGGAGCCTAAAACATATTCAGACATCTTTACATGAAAGTAATGGCAAAGGTCAGTCTTAGACTTCAAAACCACAGATGCATGCGTTGATACATTATATCCATTGGAACTATCTAATAATGAAATTGGTCGGTTCCAAAAAGAAAAGTGCAAATTTTGAGCCTATCCCAGATGGAATCTTTGAAGTTATTCAGCATGAGGGGGCTTCAAAAACTTTGTGGGAAAATGGAATTAAAAGATTAATTTATGGGGCTGGCATTATGGTGCAGTGGGTTAAACTGCTGCCTGTGATGCTGGCATTCCATATGGGTGCCAATCTGAGTCTTGGCTGCTCCAGTTCTGATCCAGCACCTGTTACTGCGCCTGGGAAGGCAGAGAAAGATGGCACAAACGTTTGGGGTCCTGCCACCCACCGGGAGACCCAGACTGAGTTCCAGACCCTTGGATTCCATTGTAGCCATTTGGAGAATGAACTAGTGAATGGAAGATCCTCCTCTATCTGTAACTCTGCCTTTCAAATAAATAAATCTTTTAAAAAATTTACAAAAGATCATTCTGTTGCAAAAAATTTGGAAATTCATGCATAGTTTTTTTCTCTTTTTTTTAAACATTTATTTTATTTATTTGAAAGTCAGAATTAGAGAGAGAGAGAGAGAGAGAGAGAGAGAGAGGTCTTCCATCTGCTGGTTCACTCCCCAAATGGCTGCAATGACTAGGGCTAGCCAGGCTGAAGCCAGGAACCAGGATCTTCATCCTGGTCTCCCACAGGGTGTAGGGGCCCAAGTATTTGGGCCATCTTCCACTGCTTTCCCAGGCCATAAGCTGAGAGCTGGATCAGAAAGGGAGCAGCCAGGACTTGAACCGATGCCCATATGTGATAATGGCATTGGCTCCGCAGGCAGCGGTTTTACCCATTTTGCCCCAACACCAGCCCCAGTTTTTTCATACTCTGCATTTTCAATGAACTTTTGGAAGACTTTGTGCTTCATGAAATGCAATATTATTTAGACCTCATTTGTACATTACCCAAATAATAAGGCTCACCATCTTCTCTTTGTGCATCCTGGTTGAATCTCAAGGATCTTGAGGCATCCCACTTATTCTTCTGCATACTCACACTAATAAAAAAGTTGAACAAATATCAGCATTCTGCTGCATTAAGAGTGAACATCCAGCTGGATTCCAGAGTAATTACTTACACAAAAGGAGACGCATCTCTAGAAGATGACTAGAAGAAAACAGACAACAATAAGCCCAATTAGAAAATTTCTACTGATTGGTATTATAGTTAATAATAGCATTTATATTTACTGAGTGCAAGACACAATACCAGCAATATTTATAAGTATTATTTCATTAAAACTTTGTAACAATCAGTTGAGACAGGCACTGTTATTATTTCCATAATAAAAGAGGTTCAGAGAAGTTAAAAAACTTCTCCAAGGAGATACAGACCTAGAATTTGAACTCCATTCTATTTGTCAACCTGGGAGTCCCACGCTTATGCATTCTTTCACAATTAACCCACTTGTAGCCGGCGCCGTGGCTCAATAGGCTAATCCTCCACCTTGCGGCGCCGGCACACCGGGTTCTAGTCCCGGTTGGGGCGCCGGATTCTGTCCCGGTTGCCCCTCTTCCAGGCCAGCTCTCTGCTATGGCCAGGGAGTGCAGTGGAGGATGGCCCAGGTGCTTGGGCCCTGCACCCCATGGGAGACCAGGAAAAGCACCTGGATCCTGGCTCCTGCCATCGGATCAGCACGGTGCGCCGGCTGCAGCGGCGGCCATTGGAGGGTGAACCAACGGCAAAGGAAGACCTTTCTCTCTCTGTCTCTCTCTCACTGTCCACTCTGCCTGTCAAAAATAAAAAAAAAAAAAAAAAAAAAAAACAATTAACCCACTTGTGTGCCTGTGATACTTAACACAAGGTGAATATACAGCCTGTCCAGTGTGACTGTGTGGGTCTAGTCTCAGCACCAGCCTTTCAGACATTTTCAGAACCCATGGCTCTCTTTGAGCCAGCTGTGGTGGCTACTGCCCTCTTAGTCCCTTCTGGATTTCACCCTTCCTCAAAACCCCAGGGAAATAATTATTTTTAAACATCAAAACCAGAATTTGTCTTAACCTTAAAAATCTACTTACTTACTTTTTATAATTTTTTTAGTAACACTGGTTTAAAATTCAAAAGATTCAAATAGTACATATAATATAAAGCCTCTTACTGCTGTCTTACACACATTCATTTCCCTTCCTTAGAGGCAGTCAATGTTATCAATTTCTTAGGTAGCTTTGCAGAGATATTTCCTATATACACATGAAAATTCATACATAAGGGCTGGTGCCGCGGCTCAATAGGCTAATTCTTCGCCTGCGGCGCCAGCACACCGGGTTCTAGTTCCGGTTGGGACTCCGGATATTGTCCCGGTTGCCCCTCTTCCAGGCCAGCTCTCTGTTGTGGCCAGGGAGTGCAGTGGAGGATGGCCCAAGTCCTTGGGCCCTGCACCCCATGGGAGACCAGGATAAGTACCTGGCTCCTGCCATCGGATCAGCACGGTGCGCCGGCCGCAGCGCGCTGGCCGCGGCGGCCATTGGGGAGTGAACCAACGGCAAAGGAAGACCTTTCTCTCTGTCTCGCTCACTGTCCACTCTGCCTGTTAAAAAAAAAAATTCATACTTAAGTATATTCCCTTACCCTTTTACACAAACCGTAGCACACTGTGCCACCACACATTGTTCTTCACCTTCCTTTTCTTATCTGCCAGTGTATCTTATGGACATTCAATCTCAGTCTATAAAAACTTGGTTGATTTTTACATTGCTAGCTTTTCAGTGTGGTATTCATTATTCTTTTTCAGATTTTTCCTGGCTATACTTGCTTGCCTATTTCTTCCTATAAGCTTTAGAAAAATAATGGATAATTTCTAGTTACCTTCTCTGATGCCTTTTCCTTCTTTTGAGTACAGGGTGAAGATATTTGTTTTTTTGGTTGTTTGGTGAACTTCTTTGGCTTCTCCTTTTTCCCTGATAATGGAAGGTCAATGTTATGAGTATGGATCCCATATACTGCTTCAATTCACTTGCTACCTCTAAACAACAAAAATATTACAATAGGGGCCAGTGCTAAGGCACAGCTTGTAAAGCCACCATCTGCTGTGTAGGCATCCCACATGGGCAACAGTTTGGGTCCCCGCTGCTTCACTTCTGATCCAGCTCTCATGTGCCTGGAAAAGCAGAAGATGGCCCAAGTCCTTAGGCCCCTGTACCTGTGGGAATCCCAGAAGCTCCTGGCTCCTGGCTTTGGCCTGGCCCAGCCCCAGCCACTGCAGCCATTTGGAGAGAGAGGGAACCAGTGGATGGAAGCTTTCTCTCCCTCTCTGCCTCTGCTTTTCCTTCTTTTTCTTTGTAACTCTTTCAAATAAATAAATAAAATCTCTAAAAAATCATTATGATAATACTGTTTTTTTAAACTAACAAATTGCCTCAGGGTATAAAAATATATGGAGAAGTCAAACTGAAATTGCTTTAGGTGTCAGTGCTGTGACATAGCAGGTAAAGCTGCCATGTGCAGTGTCGGCATCCCATATGGGCACCGGTTCATGTCCTGGCTACTCCACTTCCAACCTAGCTCACTGCTATGGCCTAGGAAAGCAGTGGAAGATGGCCCAAGTCCTTGGGTCCCTGCACCCATGTGGGAGACTTAGAGAAGCTCTCGGCTGCTGGCTTCAGCCTGGCCAGCCCCTTGCCACTGCAGCCTTTTGGGGAGTGAACCAGCAGATGGAAGCTTTCTCTCTATGCTTCTCTCTCTTGCATGCACATTCTCTCTCTCCCTCTCTCTGTGACTCTGACTTTCAAATAAATAAAAAACTTCATATTTATTTTTCTGAAGTTAACAGTAGAATTGCTTTCTAATCCCAAAATGTTTTATATAAAATAACAATAGCCTAGAAAAACAAAATTTGAGAATGGGTGGAGAAAGAATTCACATAAAAAATTTTTGGCGCCGCGGCTCACTAGGCTAATCCTCCATCTTGCAGCGCCGGCACACCGGGTTCTAGTCCCGGTCAGGGCTCCAGATTCTGTCCCGGTTGCCCCTCTTCCAGGCCAGCCCTCTGCTGTGGCATGGGAAGGCAGTAGAGGATGGCCCAAGTCCTTGGGCCCTGCACCCCATGGGAGACCAGGAAAAGCACCTGGCTCCTGGCTCCTGCCATCGGATCAGCGCGGCACACCGGCCGCGGTGGCCATTGGAGGGTGAACCAACGGCAAAAGGAAGACCTTTCTCTCTGTCTCTCTCTCTCACTGTCCACTCTGCCTTTCAAAAAAAAATTTTTTTTTAATGGCTTTTGCTTAAGTAGGAGATAGGACAGGAATGATCTCTGAAGTAGTAGTCTTAGGAGGAATTATATGATGGACTAAAGCATTCCTAGAGCCAATATTCCCAAACTGTTCTGGCTGACAATTTAGACAGTTTAGGGAAAATAGAGAAGGGGATAAAAGCAGGACAAAGCATGTCTCTAAAAACAATGTAAGATACTAAGAATAATACCCTGGATAACTATGCCCTAAACATCAATTATTTGCAGTCACCTTCACAATTTTTGCTATATCATTTAAAAGGGAAACTTTTGGGGCTGACTATGGTGTAGTGGGTAAAGCCACAGTCTGTGGCACCAGCATCCCACATGGGCACTGATTCGAGTCCAGGCTGCTCCTCTTCCAATCCAGCTCTGCTTATGGCCTCGGAAAGCAGTTAAAAGCTGGCCCAGGTCCTTGGGTCCCTACAACCCAGAAGAAGTTCCTGGCTCCTGCTTCGGATTGGCCAGCTCTGGCAGTTGCAGCCATTTGGGGAGTGAACCAGTGGATGGAAGACCTATCTCTCCCTCTATCTGTAACTCTACCTCTCAAATAAATAAATAAATCTTTAAAAAAAAAAAAGCAAAATTACTAATCCAGACAGATGTATTTGCTGCCTGGCAAGCCTGGAACCCCCTAATATGTTATAAAATTGCTAAAAGACATGATTTGGTGGAACATCTGATAATGGCACTGTAAAAAGGCTGGACAATTCCTTCCAAAGGAAAAAACTACAAGGTGGAACAAAAATATTATAAACAACTCTCTGAAGACACTGGCAGAGAAGCAAAGGCAGGCAGAAGGTTGTATGTGTGTGGTTGAGACACCTGAGGTCAGAGGGGTGAGTCTGGAGCTCTCTGGTCCAGAGGCATTCCCCAAGCCTCCCTGACTCAGGGAGGAAATCACAGCCTTAGCCATTTCAGGGAGAAAATGACAGAATTCAAAGCAACAGAGAAGCTGCAAATACAAAGGGGAAAATTTTTGAAAGCGAAAAGGTCACAGAAGACCTGAAATCTAAAATGTGAGTATAAGCCATCTGGTCTCCTAGTGGAGTATTAAGCTATACAAGTGTATGGGAGACCCTAGGAAGCCTGCCTTTTTATTATAAAGTAGTATAGGGTGCCTATGTTTGTAAGACTCAGCTGTTCATGGTGTGAAATATGAGAACTGCTTGTGTCTTTGACTAAAATTTTCCACCTGCACACAGCTCAAGTTTCAGACAGTAGGAGCCTTACTGGCTTCAGGTGGGACAGGACAGACTTAGGACTTCAAAAATGACTAGAAATCTAGGGGGAACCACTAGGAATATGAGCCCCAAAATCAGGATGTAAATTCTGTCCAAATGCTTGGCTGAGTCCCAAACTATACAGTCTGCAGTGACTCCTGGGCATAGGCTACATAGCAACATCAGGAAACCCAAAAACAATTGCGTAGAGACACTCACTGTACAACACGGGCGAGACAGATTTTGCAGTTTGAATTATCCAGATAAACTACCTAACAGAAAAAGAAGCTCAAGAATGCTTCAAAGAACAAGACATTTCAGACTACATTAGGATAACACACAATGTCCAATTTTTCAATCAAAAGTTAGGAGATAGATAACAAAACGTGTGGCCCACTCAAAAAGCAATCAACAGAAACTGATTCTAAGAGGGGTTGTGTGCTGGTCTAGTTATAAATATGTTTAAATGAAAAATGGCATACAAGTAAGCACACAGAGAAACTCACACAGAGAAACAGAAACAATAAAAGATCCAGGGGTGGGTGCTATGTGCAATGGTTAAGATGCCACTTGGGATGCCACACACGTGGGTTTAAGTCTTGGCTCTGCTTCTGAATCTAGCTAATGCACACCGTGGAAGGCAGCAGGTGGTGGTTCAAGTGCTTGAGTCCCTGGCATCCACATGGGAGACACAACTGAGTTCTGGGTCTGGCTTAAGCCTGGCCCAGTCCTGGCTGCTGCAGTCATTTTGCGAGTGAACCAGCAGACAGAAATCTCTTTCTCTTTTGTGAATAATAACTGTAACAAGCTGTATCATAATCCATGGAAAACAGTTAAAGCAATGGTTAGAGTAAAACTGACAGCTTTATATGCTTATATTATAAAATAAGAAAAGTAAAAAGCCTACAATCTAAGCTTCCATTTTAAGAGACTACAAAAGGGGCTGGTGTTGTGGCATAGTGGGTGAAGCTGCTACCTGTGACACTGGCATCCATATTGGTGCAGATTAGAGTCCCAGCTGCTCCACTTCTGATCCAGCTCCCTGTTAATGAGCCTGGGAAAGCAGCGGAAGATAGTGCTTGGGCCCCTGCACCCACATGGGAGACATGGATGAAGCTCCTGGCTTCAGCTTGACTCGGCCCTGCCACTGTGGCCACTGGAGAGTGAACCAGTGGATGGAATACCTCTCTAACTCTGACTTCCAAATAAATGAAGTACATTTTTTTTTAAACTAAAGAAATTCATTCCAAAGGACTATATTGGGGCTGGCAATGTGGCCTGGCAGGTAAAACTGCCGCCTGCAGTGTCGGCATCCCATATGGTCGCTGGTTCAAGACCCAGCTGCTTCACTTCTGATCCAGCTCTCTGCTATGGCCTGGGAAAGCAATGGAGGATGGCCCAAGTCCTTGAACCCCTGCATTGGTGTGGGAGACCTGGAAGAATCTCTTGGCTCCTGGCTTTGGATTGGCACAGCTCCAGCCACTGCGGACATCTGGGGAGTGAACCAGAGGATGGAAGTCCTCTCTCTCTCTGCCTCTGTTTAACTCTGCCTTTCAAATAATAAATAAATAAATCTTTAAAAAAATCAGTGGAACAGAACAAGGTTCAGAATAGTCCCACATATAAATGGTAAACTGATTTTTGAAAAAGTGCTAAAGTAATCCAATAGGGAAAGAACAATTTTTTTAATAAATGGTATTAGGACAACCAAAGGGGGGAAAATAGGAAGCTTGACCCTTAAATCACATAATACACAAAAACTCACTGGGAAGGGATCAGATTTAAATATAAAAAGCTAAAATCAACGAAATTCTAGAAAAACACACAGCAGAACATCTTTGTGACCTTGAGGCAGGCAAAGATGCCTGAGCTATAAAACATGAACCGTAAAAGGAAAAAATAAAAATTGGAGTACAGAAGATTATAGACTTTCTCTCTCCAGAAGACACTACTAAAAAATTAAGAGGCTTGGGGCCCGTGTTGAGTGCAGGGTGTTAACCTGTCATTTGTGAGGCTGGAATCCTCTGTTAGAGCACTAGTTTGAGCCCTGGCTACTCTACTTCCAATCCAACTTCCAGCTAAGGCACCCGGGAAGGCAGTGGAAGATGGTTCAAGCACTTGGGCCCCTGTTACCTATCTGGGAGACCAGGATGGAGTTTCTGGTTCCTGGCTTTTTCCTGGCCCAGATTTGGCTGACTATAGCCATGTGGGGAGTGAACCAGTGGGTGGAAGATCTCCTTTTGCTTCTCCCTCTCTCTCTGTTGCTCTACCTTTCAAATTAGTCAATCTTTTAAAAAAAATTTTTTTTTTTGATAGGCAGAGTAGACAGTGAGAGAGAGAGACAGAGAGAAAGATCTTCCTTTGCCACCGGGTTCTAGTCCCGGTCGGGGCGCCGGATTCTGTCCCGGTTGCCCCTCTTCCAGGCCAGCTCTCTGCTGTGGCACAGGGAGTACAGTGGAGGATGGCCCAAGTGCTTGGGCCCTGCACCCCATGGGAGACCAGGAGAAGCACCTGGCTCCTGCCATCGGATCAGTGCAGTGCGCTGGCTGCGGCGGCCATTGGAGGGTGAACCAACGGCAAAGGAAGACCTTTCTCTCTGTCTCTCTCTCTCACTGTCCACTCTGCCTGTAAAAAAATAAAATAAAATAATAAAAATCTTCCTTTGCCGTTGGTTCACCCTCAAATGGCTGGCACGGCTGGCACGCTGCAGCCGGTGCACTGTGCTGATCCGATGGCAGGAGCCAGGTACTCATCCTGGTCTCCCATGGGGTGCAGGGCCCAAGCACTTGGGCCATCCTCCACTGCCTTCCCATGCCACAGCAGAGAGCTGGCCTGGAAGAGGGGCAACCAGGACAGATCCGGCACCCCGAACGGGACTTAAAACTGGCGTGCCAGCACCGGAACGCTGACGATTTTCCTTGTGAGCCGCGGCACCGGCCTCTCTTTTTAAAAATTTGAAGCAAGTCACAGACTAGGAGAATATATCTGCAAAACATCACTGACACAGAACTTGTATCTAAAGTATGCATAGGGGCTGGAGCAGTGGCGTGGTGGGTAAAGCTGTACCCTGCAGTGCCGGCACACCATATAGGTGCCGGTTCTAGACCTGGCTGCTCCACTTCCTTTTTTTTTTAAATGAATCTTTTATAAAGATTTTATTTTTTTTTTTTATTTGAGCGGTAGAGTTACAGACAGTGAGAGGGAGAAACAGAGAGAAAGGTCTTCCATCCGTTGGTTCACTCCCCAGATGGCTGTAACGGCTGGAGCTGCGCCAATCCAAAGCCTCCATAAGCTTCTTCTGGGTCTCCCACGCGGGTGCAGGGGCCCAAGGACTTGGGCCATCTTCTACTGCTTTCCCAGGCCACTGCTGAGAGCTGGATAGGAAGTGGAACAGCCAGGAGTAGAACCAGCATCCATATGGGATGCTGGCGCTGCAGGTGGAAGATTAACCTACTGCACCATGGTGCTGGCCCCGCTCCACTTCCGATCTAGCTATCTGCTATGGCCTGGGAAAGCAGCAGAAAATGGCCCAAGTGTTTGGGTTCCTGCACCTGTGTGGGAGACCCAGAGGAAGCTTCTAGCTCCTGGCTTCAGACTGGCCCAGCTCTAGCCATTGCGGCCATTTGGGGAGTGAACCAGCGGATGGATGATCTCTCTCTGCCTCTGCCTCTCTGTAACTCTGCCTTTCAAATAAATAAATAAATCTTTAATAAATTATAGAAGATAAAGGGAGGGAAGTGTGTTGTTTCAATGGCATTTGGAGGATTGTTTTATTGACTTACCCAAGAATTATTTAATTCTGTAAGGAAATGTCCTTGTACCTGATTTTGCTATTTACTACTAATTGACATACAGACACTGTGAAGTTAACTTGCAGATTTTTATGTCCAACAGAAAGGCAAATTAATTCTGACTAGTGGAAAAGACAACTCTAATTATAGGCTTACTGCCTTGTAGGACATTAAGCAGTTTTCTATCTTTGCAATCTTCTCTTAACATTCTCAAATGCCTATGAATACCTGAGTCATTGCCAAAGGCTTCTGAACCATTCTTGGAGCTAACAAGTTGATAAATCATATAGAAGTTCACCATAGTTATATAATAATCAGGATTTTAATATTTTAGAAACTGGATTTTTATGAATGTTACTTAATGGTTCATTTGAGTGTAGTCCTGATCACCTCAGGTAAACTTATGTCACATTTCATCTGATGTGAGTCACACATTCTGAGAAACATTAGGTTACACCTGAAGTGCAAATCTGAAGGATTATTTCTCAGTACACTGCATTTTCTTTATAACTTTGTGAGTATTTCACACTGGTAACATGGTTAGGGAATCCTGACGAAGCCTCTTCTCTTTCTATGTTGTACCTTATCTTGTACATATATAAAGCCAATTCCCCATTACAGGCTTCAGAAAGCCACCCCTTCACCAACAGACTTGAGTTTCCCTTAGAAGCCAGTACTTTGTTTCCTGGTTACTTCTTCCTCATCACCAACTTCATCTTCGGTGACCTCAGACCCAGTGGTATATTCTTCTTCTTCTGAAAACAATGACTGCTGTTTCTAAATTTAAAAATATCCACAACAGAACACATTGATTATAGATGCATTATCACATCCCTTGTGAATTATTCCAAACATACTATATAAATTTATTTTGGACAATGAGTCAAAAAGCTGTTAAACTCAGCACTGCCTATGTAGTACAGCATCTGGGAAATGATCGCAGGAATTTCTAGTCAGGACACAATTATACTACAACAACTTTGATTTATTGCCTTCTCAGAACCTTAGCACAGTAGGTACTCAGTATTTGCTGAACTGCACCTCTGTCACTCAAGTGTATTTTCCTTGATAGTGAGATAGTTTCCTCCATCTACCCCCTACTGTCTGTCATCAGTGATACAAATTTGGATTCCAGTCTTACAAATACTGATGGCAGATGGCATAGTATAGGCAGACAGGAAAAATACTCAATCAATTAATGAAACAACTAAATAGTTAAAATTTAACAGATTTGCTTCTTTGTTCAATGTCTTAAATGTGATTCAAAAGTGACTTTAGAAACCTGTGGTTTAAGCAGCAGACAGTGGAGCATGTTTCTATTTTAAACAATTCAAAGACATTTTCAGTAAGTAGAAAACTGGAGAAGCTGAAAAGGAAGATAGACTTTAACCAAACTAAAATAAGAAATTGATATGACTCTATGAAATTGAACTTTAATTTAGGAAAAAAGAGATCCATGAAAGTTTAATACAACTGCTCACTTACCAGTTGCAGAGTCCAGTTTTTCAGTGACAAGAACTATAAGACAGAGAAATAGGAGATTAATAGATCAACACCTACCCAGACTACAGCTTTTTATTTTCATATGGATGTTGTATAAGAGTTTACAAAAGTTACAAATATACTTCCTTCCCAGGATGAAATATAATTTAAAGGGGCTGGCACTGTGGTGTAGTGAGTAAAGTGGCTGCTTTCATTGCCAGCATCTCATATGGGTCCTGGTTCAAGTCCCGGCTGCTCTGCTTCTGATCCAGCTCTCTGCCATGGCCTGGGAAAGCAGTGGAATATGACCCAAATTCTTGGGCCCCTGCATTCACGTGGGAGAATCAAAAGAAGCTCCTGGCTCCTGGCTTTAGTTCAGCCCAGCTGCAGATGCTGCTGCTATCTGGGGAGTGAATCAGTAGATGGAAGACCTCTCTCTATCTCTGTACCTCTGCCTACCTGTAACTCTGCCTTTCAAATAAATAAAAAAATCTTTTTAAAAAAGAAAAATATAATTCAAAACTTTGTTGAAACTAATGTATAGTCTCCAAATCCCCTGCCTGGAGGAGGATGTAGAAGTTAAAAAAAGAAAAGAAAAGAAAAAAGCAATTAACACTTTCCAATGGATAAGTAAATCACATATAGAGATAATATAATTTGAAGTAGGGGGGAGAGACAGGGAGAGAGAAAGAAACAGACAAGAGATCTCTCATATGCTGGTTCATTCCCCAAATGCCTGTGACAGCTGGGGCCTTGAGCCAGGCTAAAGCTGGGAGCTAGGAACTCAATCTGGATCTCCCACAAGGGTGGCAGGAACCCAACCACTTAAACCATCACCTGTTGCCTCCCAGGGTGCACATCAGCAGGAAACCAGATGCAGGAAAAGGAACGAGTACTTGAAACCAGGCACTCTTTAAGACTTTGGTATACAAAGAGGTGTCTTAATAACTACAACAGACGTCTGCTCCTATTTTTAAACTATTTTCACATGTTTATTTTTCATTATAATTTGACTCAAAAAGAGTCAAAGGAATAAAAGCTTTTTGGTCACCTCAAAAATATTTGTTTTGAGGGGCTGGCACTGGGCATAGCAGGTAAAGCTGCCGTCTTCGGCACCGGCATCCCATGTGGGTGCTGGTTTGTGTACTGGTGTGTCACTTCCATTCCAGCTCCCCGCTAATGGCCTGGGAAAAGCATGGAGAAGATGCCTAAGTGTTTGGGCCCATGCCACTCATGTGAGAGAACCAGATGAAACTCCTGGCTCCTCGATTTGGCCTGATCCAGCACTGGCTATGTGGCTATCTGGGGAATGAACCAGCAGATCAAAGAGTCTTTGTCTCTCCCTCTCTGTTATACTCTTTCAAAATAAATAAATTAAGTCCTTCTGGGCCAGCGCCGTGGCTCAATAGGCTAATCCTCCACCTTGCGGCGCCGGCACACCGGGTTCTAGTCCCGGTCGGGGCGCCGGATTCTGTCCCGGTTGCCCCTCTTCCAGGCCAGCTCTCTGCTATGGCCAGGGAGTGCAGTGGAGGATGGCCCAGGTGTTTGGGCCCTGCACCCCATGGGAGACCAGGAGAAGCACCTGGCTCCTGCCTTTGGATAGGCGTGGTGTGCTGTCTGCAGCGTGCCAGCCGTGGCAGCCATTGGAGGGTGAACCAACGGCAAAAGGAAGACCTTTCTCTCTGTCTCTCTCTCTCCCACTATCCACTCTGCCTGTCAAAAAAAAAAAAAAAAAAAAAAAAAAAAAAAAGAAAGAAAAAAAAGAAAAAGAAAAAAAAGAAAAATCTATCTATAATCCTGATTGCTATAAAAAAAAAAAAAAAACGAGAATTTCACATTGAGAAATGTTTATAGAACGTGGAGGAAATAAAATAGCCTTTATATCACATTGTCAATCTACAAGTTATTATTTATCCATAAGAAAAATGCTTAAGACTATGTTATATTTATTTTGCAAAAGTTAAAAATCTATTAGTTATTAATTCCTTGAGGACCAGGAATATGTTCTATTACCACAAAAGTCCTGCATTTTTTTAAGCAATCCCCACCCCCTCTCTCTTCTTTTTAAAAAGATTTATTTATTTATTTGTTTGAAAGGCAGAGTTTCGGAGAGAGAGGGAGAAACAGAGATCTTCATCTGCTGGTTCACTCCCCAAATGACTACATCAGCTGGAGCTGAGCCAGGCAGAAGGCAGGAGCTTCATCTTATTTCCCACATGGTTAGCATGGGTCCAAGCATTTGGGTCATCTTCCACTGTTTTTCCCAGGCCATTAGCAGGGAGCTGGTTCAGAAGTGGAGCAGGGGCCGGCGCTGTGGTGTAGCAAGTAAAGCTGCCTGCAGTGTCGGCATCCCATAAAGGCGCTGGTTCAAGTCTTAGCTGCTCCACTTCTGATCCAGCTCTCTGCTGTGACCTGGGAAAGCAGTGGAGGATGGTCCAAGTCCTTGGGCCCCTGCACCACATGAGACCAGGAAGAAGCTCCTAACTCCTGGCTTCAGTTTGGCACAGATCTGGCCGTTGCAGCCACCTGGGGAGTGATCCATTGGATGGGAGACTTCTCACAGCAGAGAGCTGGACTGGAAGAGGAGAAACCGGGACTAGAACCCAGCGCCCATTTAGGATGCTGGCACCACAGGCGGAGGATTAACCTAGTGAGCCACGGCGCTGGCCCCGACAGTTCAACTTAAACTGACCCAGCTTCTGAAAATGTCATCAATTAGAGCAAAAATAAATGTAGTAAGTTACTCACAGCGTTGAGCTCCCCAGTTTTGGGGCCCCATGGTGTACTTGGCTCCAGCAGAACATCACATTCTAAACCCTTTTCATCACAGGGGCCAACTGCAGGATCACTGGAAAGAAAGACATATTTATGGAAAAGTGTTAAATTTCTTAAAAATTTACATGTATCTTTTTACTACACATTTTATAAATTACTCTTTAGAATACAGTTCCTATGTCAAACAATGTCATCTCAACATTTAAATTTTTTTTTGTTAAATTTGAGAGGCAAAGAGTGAGTGAGCCATACACACACACACACACGTACAGAGTGTGTTCCCATCTGCTGCTTCACTCCCCCAATGCCGGCAATGGTTGTGGCAGGACCAGATGGAAGCCAGGAACTCAATCCAGGTCTTCCACATGCATAGCAGGAAACCCAATTACTTAAGCCATCTCCACTGCCTTCCAGGGTCTGCATAAGTAGGAAGCCAACGTCAAGAGCCAGAGCCAGATCAAGCCAGGAAGCTCTAGTATGTGATGTGGGCATACTAATCACTAGGCTAAATGTCCACTCCAACATTTGCATTTCTTAACTCATCCACTGATTCCCCTAGTAAAAGTCACTGCATATAGGGGAGCACTACTGCACTAAACACTGTATTTGCTAGGTGATGGACTGGACCATCCTGATTGGGTACTGCTCTGAAAACAGCAGTTTTCAAGATTCCAGTCACCCAAGACTGACAGCCTGCTGCGACTTCAAAACGATGGAAATGAATTCTGAACTTACAGAATTCAAGGGGTTCAAAATTATGGAAAGAAGATCTCAACCTTTGACTTTTTTTCTAGTTGTATCAATCAAGCATTTTGGATAGGTTTAAGCAACTTGAGGGAAAAAGCCCCAAACCCTCAAAAACTGGATTTAAGGTCTTAATCTTTCTAATCAAGTACTCTTCACCAGTTTTTCCTCCCCCAGAACTCCAACATTTTTAAGTGTTTTGCCTATCAAATATCTGTGACTCTTACCATCAGCCAACGTGTAATTTCAGTTAGGCTGTCTGAGATAATGGAAACCTCTGAGGACTGACACTATTCATTTAGGGTTAGGAGATTCTGAAGTGGGAGCCACGGGGTAAAGCTGCAATAGTATTGGTAGCTGTTGTTTTTATTTCCCCTCACCTAACTGTATCTTTAGAAAAAGGCACCACAATGACATCTTTGTGCTCGTGCAGATCGTCCAGTATTCTAGTAGTCAGACAGGGCGGCAAATCCCCACTTTCACCTTGATCTCGAAGAGCAACTACGTGGTCCCTCACTTTACAGCCCTGCGAGATAAGAAACACTGAATTAGAGAGGTTGGATTACTACAGAGACACTCATTTATTTAAAAAATTTATTTACTTGAAAGGCAGAGAGACAGAGACACAGAGATCTCTCATCTCCTGGTTCCCCAGATGCCCTCAACAGCTGGGGATGGGCCAAGTTGAAGCTGAGAGACTGGAATTCAGTTCAGATCTTCCATGAGGGTGGTAGAGACCCAAACACCTGAGCAATCACCTGCTGCCTCCCAAGGTGCACATCAGTAGAGAGCTGAACTGGAAGTAGAGCTGGGACTGAAACCCAGGTACTCCAAAAAGGGACACAGGTATGCCAAGTAGCATCTTAACCATGTGCCAAGCACCTGCCCCTACTAATACTTTTCAAGATGACTATAACCTTTAGTTTTTGCCTGGTCTATTACAAATAAACTACTCTGTAACTTTTTCCTGAGGAAAAAGTGCTCCTCATACAGAAAGGAGACTAAACATAAGCATTAAACTTAACAAATACCCAAATATCCATAAAATCACTCTCACTGAGAAACAGAACACTCCAGGAGTGCCCATGGGCCCGTTTCCCATCACAACTCCACTTCTTTTCTCCCAAGAAGATAAACTTTGTCTTGACTTTTATGGTAATGACTTCCTTGCTTTTACCCTTTTATAATGATGTATCCCCAAACACTATTTAATTTAGTTTTGCCTTACCTGTTTTGTTCCATATTAAATGACTCACCCATGCCACTGCATGTAACATTAACATTGCTTTAATGTATAGTATTCCATCATACGAATAAATACCACTTGCTTTTATTTAAAGATTTATTTATTTGAAAGGCAGAGTTACAGAGAGAAGGAGAGGCAGAGAGAGAGAGAGAGAGAGGTAGGTAGGTCTATCCACTGGTTCATTCCCTAGTTGGCCACAATGGCCGGGGCTGCGCCAATCTGAAGCCAGGAGCCAGGAGCTTCTTCCAGGTCTCCCACGCGGGTGCAGGGGCCCAAGGACTGGGGCCATCTTCCACTGCTTTCCCAGGTCTTAGCAGAGAGCTGGATTGGAAGTGGAGCAGCTGCAGGGCCGATGCTGTGGCGCAATAGGTTAATCCTCTGCCTGTGGCGTTGGCATCCCATATGGGTGCCGATTCTAGTCCTGGCTGCTCCACTTTCAATCCAGCTCTCTGCTATGGCATGGGAAAGTAGAAGATGGCCCAGGTGCTTGGGCCCTTGCACCCATGTGGGAGACCAGAAGCGCCTGGCTCCTGGTTTCGGGTTGGCACAGATCCAGCTGTTGCAGCCATTTGTGGGGTGAGCCAATGGAAGGAAGATCTTTCTCTCTGCCTCTCCTTATCACTGTCCGTAACTCTACCTCTCAAATAAAATAAGTAAAATCTTAAAAAAAAAAAAAAAAAAGGAAGTGGAGCAGCCGGGACTCAAACTAGTGCCCATATGGGATGCCGGCACTGCAGGCTTTACCCACTACACCACAGCACCAGCCCCAATTTCATTTTATTTCCTCTCTGATACATTAGTTTGGAAATATATCTTTAATTGGAAAACATACGGGTGTTTTCTAGTTACTTTTCTTATTGATTTCTAGCATAAATGGACTGCAGACATAAACATTCAACATGATTGATCTTACTCTTTTGAAAGTTGTTGAGACCTTATGTTTTATGATCCAGCATGTGATTAAATTTATTTATTTATTTATTTATTTGTTTGTTTTGACAGGCAGAGTGGACAGTGGGAGAGAGAGAGAGAGAGAGAGAGAGAGAGAGAAAAGGTCTTCCTTTTGCCGTTGGTTCACCCTCCAATGGCCGCCGTGGCCGGCACGCTGCGGCTGGCGCACCGCGCTGATCCGATGGCAGGAGCCAGGTACTTATCCTGGTCTTCCATGGGGTGCAGGGCCCAAGCACCTGGGCCATCCTCCACTGCACTCCCTGGCCACAGCAGAGAGCTGGCCTGGAAGAGGGGCAACCGGGACAGAATCTGGTGCCCCGACCGGGACTAGAACCCAGTGTGCTGGTGCCGCAAGGTGGAAGATTAGCCTATTGAGCCACGACGCTGGCCAGTGAATAAATTTTATAAATGTTCTATTCATGCTTGAAAATAATTTATCCTGTAATGTTGCTTATTTTAATAGACAAACTTAATCTAACAAACATACAATTTGTTTAATTTTCTATATGCTTACTTTGTCATTATTGGCTTGGGTTACCTATTACTGACTAAGGCATGTTTAAATCTCCCACTATTATTGTGAATTGTTCTCTTCTTGTAGGCTTACTGCTTTATGCATTTTAAGGTCATATTAATAGGTACAAATTTAGAATTATTTTCTTGGTAAATTAACCTTTTGTGATTATAAAATAACCCTTTTTATCTCATGCACTGTTTTTGCCTTGAAATCTATTTGTTCTGATACTAACAAAGTTATCCTTGCTTTATTTTAATAAAGTTGTGTGATCTACCTTTTTTTTTTCTTTTACATCTTTCTATATCCTTATGTTTTAGATATATCTCTTAGAAACACCAAATAGTAAGGTTTTTCTTCTATTTCCCCATCATACTTTGATTGTCTTTTTACTGGACTATTTTAATTGTTTACATTTAATGTAATAGCCGGTATATTTGGGTTCACATATCTGACCTCATAATGCATCATTCAGTATTCTTTTTCTTCTTTTGGATTTTTAAAAATCACTGCATTCCTTACCATAATACACATTAACTTATTTATAAAAAATATTTATTTGCAAGGCAGAGATAAGAGAGGACAGAGAGAGACAGATAGAGACATCTTCCAATCCTTGGTTTACTCCCCATACAGCCAGGTCTGGGCCAAGAGCCAGGAGCTTCATCCTAGTCTCCCAAGTTGGGGGGCTGTGGCCCAAGTACTTGGGCCATCTTGTGTTGCCTTCCCAGGTGAATTAACAGACTGAAAGCTAGAACTTGAGAATTGCACTCCAATCTAGAACTTGAGGCTTGCATTCCAATAAGGAATTCCAGTGTCACAAGTGGTAGCTTAAACTGCTGTGCCAAAACGCCACTTCCACCCCATCCCCCCACACAGTAATTTATATATTCTTCTTTTAAGTAGTTACTATAGAACTTACAATGCATAGCCTTCAGGTTTACCAAAGTCTAAGTTAATATTCCCCTTCTGATTGTGGTGGAATGGGTTAAGCCACCTGTGAAACCAGCATCCCATATGAGCACTAGTTACAGTCACAGCTGTTCCACTTTCAATCCAGCTCCCTGCTAATGCACCTGGAAAGCAGTGGCAGTGGGACCCAAGGGCTTAGGTCTCTGGTACCCTCATGGCAGACCTAGATGGAGTTCCAGGCTCCTGGCTTCAGTCTGGCATAGCCTTGGCAGTTGCAGCAATTTAGGGAATGAACCAGAGGCTGGAAGTTCGCCATCTCTCTTCTCTCTGTTTACCTCTTTCTGTAACTCTGTCATTTAAATAAATAAATAACTAAATAAAATCTTAAAAAAAAAAACACTCCTTCTGAGATAATGCAAGATCTTTTAAATTCCATTGTACCATCCTGCTTATATTGTTACAGGTTTTAAAATTATACATCAAGGTTATAAAATTATATAGGCGTTTTGGTGCAGTGAGTTAAGCTGTAGCTTGGGATGCCCACATGCCATACTGGAGTGCCAGTCTGAGTCTTGGCTCCTCTGCTTCTAATACAGATTCATGCTAATGTGCCTGGAAGGCAGCAGATGATGGCTCTAACACTTGGGTCTCTGCCATCCATGTGGGATATCCACATGGGCAACTTGAATAGAGTTCCTCGCTCTTGGTTTTGGACTGGCCCAGCCTTGGCTGTTGTAGGCATTTGGGGAATGAACCAAAGGATGGACGATCTCTCTCCCCTCTACCTCTTCCTCTGTTGCCTTCAAATAAACAGGTATTTTTAAAAGTTATAAAGCATATATTCATATCAATTATTTAAATTTTTCTGTATTATTAAATAATTGATATGTAACTCTACATCTTAATAACATTCTTTGCTACTTCCTCTAAGCAGTTTACTGGTTACACATTCCCCTGTTTTTTTTTTTTTTTTTCCAACAGGCAGAGTGGAGAGTGAGAGTGAGAGAGAGAGAGAAAGAGAGAGAAAGAAAGGTCTTCCTTTGCCGTTGGTTCACGCTCCAATGGCTGCCGCGGCCGGCGCACTGCGCTGATCCAAAGCCAGGAGCCAGGAGCTTCTCCTGGTCTCCCATGCGGGTGCAGGGCCCAAGGACTTGGGCCATCCTCCACTGCACTCCTGGGCCACAGCAGAGAGTATTCCCCTGTTTTTAAAAAAGATTCATTTATTCATATTTGAAAGGCAATTACAGAGAGAGGGAAAGACAGAGATCTTCCATCCTCTGGCTCATTCCCCAAATGGCCAAAATGGCTGGGGCTGGGCCAAGTCAAAGCCAGGAGCTTCTTCTGGGTCTCCCACATGGATGGCAGGGACCCAAACACTTGAGCCATCTTGTGCTGCTTTTCCCATGCCATTAGCAGAGAGCTGGATCAGAAGTAGGTGCAAGCAATAGCTTGCACAGTGTTGGCCTCGATTTCTCCATTTGTTTACTTATAATGATTTTGCTTTAATTCCTAAGGGATATTTAAAGAAGTTATTGATGTTGAGATTTTGGCATACTGAAGACCTTGTAGACTATAGTCTGATTTCTGCTACTGCTGAGATGTGAGCTCTAATTATTGATGTTTGAAGGGATTCTATATTCTTTCTTCTGAATGCTTTTAAATTTTTTTTTTAACTTTTTTTTTTTTTTTTTTTGGACAGGCAGAGTGGAAAGAGAGAGAGAGAGAGAGAAAGGTCTTCTTCCTTTGCCGTTGGTTCACCCTCCAATGGCCGCTGTGGCTGGCGC